AAGGCGGAGTCCAGTGAGGCGCCCCCAGGACCGGCTCGGGGAGGTTAGGACCGCGGCTGGGTGCCCGCGTCCTGTATCCGAGTGCGGGGTCGAGTCCAGACTCCACGTGCAGCTCCCTGCTGCTGTGCACACGCCCCAGGGGCAGTGGGTGACGGCTCGGGAGGTGGGCTTCCTGCCACTCCCGTGGGAGCCCTGGACTGAATCCCCAGCTCCCGGCTTTCGCCTGGCCCATGCTGTGGGCATCTGGGGGCATGCTGTGGACCAGTGGCTGGCAGATCTCTCTCTCTCCCTCTCTCTCTCTCTCTCTCTCTCTCTCTCCCTCTCCCTCCCCCCCCCCTTGTCAGCTAGCTAAATAAATAAGCCCACTCCCCCACAGTCGCCCTTGATGAGAGGCTGAGGCGGTGGGGTGGACAGTGGCGCTGGGGAGCCTTCGCTAAAGCTTCCTCCTGCCGAGCAGAGGCGGCCTGCGGCCCCCCGGAAAGCCAGCACACGGACCCCCAAACCGCCGCTCGCCCTGGCTTAGGGGTCCACGCCTCCCCTCGGCTGGCCACCTGGGCTCCTGGCGGCCACTGCTGTGCCTGTGCCTCGTCTTCAGGACTGGACCAGCAAAGCCGCGCGTCACCCCGTCCCTACTCCCCCAAGAGGTGGATCCCGTTTTTGAGAACTCCCACGGAAGGCCCTGCTCCCTGTCCCCAGCCAGGATGTGCCAGCCGAGCCGGGGTGGGGAGGGGCAGGGGCATCCGTGCCGCTGGCCTTGCTCTGCCCTTGCTCCCCGGTCAGTCAGAGCCCGGGCGAGGCAGAGCTTTCCCTGGCAGGTGCCGCCGGTCGGCGTGGCCTCGCCCTTCTCTCTCATTTTGTTGTCTTGAAAGATTTACTTATTTATGTGAAAGGCAGAAGTTATGCAGAGGCAGAGATGGGGCGGGTGTTGAGATCATTCATCCAATGTCTCCCCAAATGGCCGCAATGGCTGGAGCTGGGCCAATCTGAAGCCAGGAGCCAGGAGCTTCTTCCAGGTCTCCCACGTGGGTACAGGGGCCCAAGGACTTGGCCCATCCTCCACTGCTCTCCCAGGCCACAGCAGAGAGCTGGATCGCAAGAGGAGCAGCCAGGACTCGAACCAGCACCCACATGGGATGCCAGTGCTGCAGGTGGTGGCTTAGCCCACTGTGCCACAGCGCCGGCCCCGGCCTTGTCCCTTAGTGAGCTGTCCGTGTGTCACCCGCTGATGTCTGGAGCATTGTCTGTTGTCCCCGGGAGCTTCCTGGGAAGACCCGCCGTCTCACCCTCCCGCCCGAGCTCCTCCTCCAGTTTTTCCTGCAATTTTAGAGAAATCCGCGCTGCTCTGACCGGGGCTCTTTGCAAACCACTGCCCTGTCGTCAGTGCCTCGTGCTAGATCCTGTTCAGACACCCACACACACAACACCCCATATACACACACCACCACACCCCACACACAACACCACAGCATACAACACTCTGATACATAATACCCCACAGCACTGCTACAGCACAACAACCCACACACAACACCACAGCACCCCGACATACAATACCCCACACAACACCCTACACACAACACCGCTACAACACCCCACACAACACCACAGCACCCTGACATACAACACTGCTACAACACCCCACACACAGCACCCTACACAACACCCTGATACATAACACCCCACAGCACCGCTACAGTACAACCCACACACAACACCACTACAACACAACACCCTACACATACCCCGACATACAATGCTCCATATACACACAGCATCCACACAATACCCATATACACACAGCACTGCTACAATACCCCAGACAACACCCACACACAATATCCCATATACACACAACACTGCTACAACACAACACCTGACACACAACACCCCACACACAACATTCCATATACACACAACACCCCACAGCGCTGCTACAGCACAGCATCCCACACACAACACCACTACAACACAACACCCTACAATACCCCGACATACAATGCTCCATATGCACACAACCCCCCATATACACACAACACCACACCCCACACAACACCACAGCACCCCGACACACAACACCCCGACATAAAAACCCTGATACATAATACCCCACAGCACCACTACAGCACAACAACCCACACACAACACCACTACAACACCCTACACATACCCCGACATACAATGCTCCATATACACACAGCATCCACACAATACCCATATACACACAGCACTGCTACAATACAATACCCCAGACAACACCCACACACAATACCCATATACACACAACACCACACCCCACACACAACACCACAGCACCCCGACATACAACACCCCACACAACACCCTACACACAACACCACTAGAACACCCCACACAACACCACAGCACCCTGACATACAACACTGCTACAACACCCCACACACAGCACCCTACACAACACCCTGATACATAACACCCACAGCACCGCTACAGTACAACCCACACACAACACCACTACAACACAACACCCTACAATACCCCGACATACAACGCTCCATATACACACAGCATCCACACACAATACCCATATACACACAGCACTGCTACAATACAATACCCCAGACAGCACCCACACACAGTACCCCCCACACACACAACACCGCTATGACACAACACCTGACAAACAAAATGCTACACACAACACTACAACACAACACCCCACACACAACATTCCATATACACACAACACCCCACAGCGCCACTACAGCACAGCATCCCACACACAACACCACTACAACACAACACCCTACAATACCCCGGCATACAATGCTCCATATGCACACAACACCCTATATATACACAGCACCCCCAAACACCACCACACATACAACACCCCACACATAACTCCTCACATACAAACACACTAACACCATCACACACACAATACCCATATACACAAAACACCAGTACACACAACACCCCATATACACACAACACCCCCCACACAACACCCAACATACAACAGTCCACACACAACACCCCGGCATATAACACCTCACAGCACCACTATAGATACAACACCCCTTATGTGGGGAGCAGGGCCTGTCTCCCGCAACATGGCGAAATAAGTACTGAGACTACCGAGACTAGACTAGACCGCTGAGACTATTAAGACTAACTCTATGCATCTGATCTCCCATCATATGGCGCTGAGAGAGAGGAAACAAATCTCACACAGCTGCGTCGTTAATTAGCCGATTCCTGACCCAACCCCTTCGTTAATTAGCCGATTCCTGACCCAACCCCTTAAAAGGGGGGAGAGACAACATGCGTGACTGCGCCCCCCTGAGAGAGTCGGTGGGAGAGCTCGCCGGTGCCGCTCCTCCATGGAGGCGGGGGGGGGGGGGGGGCGGCAGCAAACCCGGGAAGGGCCGGGGAAGGAGAACAGCGCAGGGTCCCGTGTCGTTCCTCCGCGAGCGGGGGAGCGACACCATACACACAACACCGCTACAGTGCAATACCCCACAGCACCCCATCCACACACAACACCGCTACAACACCCCACATACAGTACCCCCACAACACTGCTGCACAAACACCCCTACACACACGTCAGTACAAGTTTATTTTGGTGCCAAAGCGGTGAAATCCGTTTTTTTCAATAATTCACATTTTAAGGCCCCTCATACCCATCTGTAGGTGTAGACAATCTGCAGACTTCAGTATGTGAAACACCACTAACGAGTGCTGTTGGGACCAGCATGGTGCCACTGTGGGCTACGCCGGCACCTATGACGCCACATCCCACATGGGCACGGGTTCGAGTCCCCGCTGATGCCCTGGGAAAAGCAGCGGCAGACGGCCCAGGCGCTCGGCCCCTGAGCACACGTGGGAGACCAACGAGAAACTCTGCAGCGGCCATGTGGGGAGTGAACCAGCATATGGAGGATCGATCCATCTCCCTCCCTCCCTCTCTAACTCTGCCTTTCAAATAAATAAATAAACTATTTTTATATATTTATTTATTTATTTATTTGAAAAAGAAGGAGCGGGGGGGGGTGTTTTCCATCTGCTGGTTCACTCCCCAATTGGCTGCAATGGCCGGAGCTGGGCCAATCTGAAGCCAGCAGCCAGGAGCTTCTTCCAGGTCTCCCACACAGGTGCAGGGCCCCAAGGACTTGGGCATCTTCTACTGCTTTCCCAGGCCACAGCAGAGAGCTGGATCAGAAGTGGAGCAGCCAGGACTCGAACCAGCGCCCACATGGGATGCCGGCACTGCAGGCAGCGGCTTTACCCTCTACACCACAGCACCGGCCCCAATGGAATCATTTTTAAAATGCATATTGGATTGTTAACAGTATGACAAAAGATCTTAAGATGTATTTGAAAGGCAGAGTTGCAGAGAGAGAAAGCGATCTTCCATCCACTGGCTCACTCCCCAGATGGCCAGGGCGGCCAGGGCTGGGCCAGGGCTGGGCCAGGGCTGGGCCAGGAGCCTGGAAATCCCCAGGCACTCACACCTCCTCACAGTGAAGCCGAGGACTCCACCTGGACTCCCATGTCGGTAGCAGGGGCCCGAGTGCTCGGCTGTGTTCTCTGCTTTCCCGGGAGCATTAGCTGAGAGCTGGACCAGAGGTGGAGCAGCTGGGACTCGAACCGGTGCTCATGGGGGATGCTGGTGTCGCAGGTGGCAGCTTAACCGGCTGTGCTACAATGCTGGGCCTGAAAAAAAGTCTTTAGTAGTATTTTATATACCTGCATGTTGAAATGATAGCGTTTTGGGTCTATTGAGTTAAGAAAATGTTGCTAAAATCAGATACGTGAATCTCGGCCAGCTTTTTTGGCTGTAAACAGGAGTGTGCTAAGATCTGTGTGGAGAGGAGCTGGAACAGCCAAGTGGCCCTGACACAGAATAGAGGGAGGGGAGTCGGGCACGGCCGCACGGATCCCACTGCACATGCGCGTTGGGGGCAGGGGGGAGGCGGGGTGGGGGGTGAGACGGGCACACAGGTCGGCAGAGCAGACCGGGAACCGCACACCGAGCCACGCCCACTGGCCAAGGGGGTCTGGACAGCCACAAGCCGAACCCGAGAGCCCGAGCCCGAGCCGCACAGCGCATGTGAAGACGCACTCCCAGTGCACAGCCGGCGCGTAAAGCTGCCGGTGAAGACCTCGGGGGTCTCAGCGGTGGAACCCAGGACTGAGAGGACGCTCACTAGGTCGGACCCCCCCCACGCCCCGAAGTTAAACCCCTTTGCCCTGCAGAAGAGGATGGGAAGGGGGCTGCAGCCAGGGAGAAAATGCCCGCCAGCTGCCCCCGCAAGGCTCCCCCTAAAGTGCCCGCCAGCTGCCCCCGCAAGGCTCCCCCTAAAGTGCCCGCCAGCTGTCCCCACAAGGCTCCCCCTAAAATGCCCGCCAGCTGCCCCCGCAAGGCTCCCCTGCCACGAGGAACAGGGCCGGCAGGGGGCGCTCGCCCAGGGCTCTGCAGCCGCTGTCCAGCGCTCAGAGGTGGTTCAGCATCCTTAGCCAGTGATGGCCGCCAGGTCCCGGGACGGTGCGGAGGGGCCGCTCTGCCAAGCAGGTCCCTGGGACGCGTGCAGACGCCCGTGCACCGCCAGGCCTGGGCGCCGAGCAGCACGCAGCCCTGCGTAATGGGGTGGCACCTGCTTCTGCAGCCGCGGGCGTGTCCGTTGGCCACAGGACAGCCCAGGAGGGTGTTGGGCCCGGCGTTAAGTGAACCCAATCCCGCCCCTGAGGGCCCCGTGCTGGCTGATGACCCCTACCTGCCGTCCTCGAAATGACAGCAGCCTAGCTGGAGGGGGAGGGGCGAGGCCCTGCACGGGGCGTGTCCAGCTTGGGATCTGGACTTCCGGCGGTCACAGGAATCTACAGCAAAAGTGAGGTCGGGCTACACAGGCTCGCTTTGTACCCACGCCCATGCCATCTCAACGTGGGGTTTTCCCTAAAGATTTACTTACTGGGGACAGTGCCGTGGCACAGTTGGTTAATCCTCTGCCTGTGGCGCCAGCATGCCATATGGACGCCAGGTTCTAGTCCCGGTTGCTCCTCTTCCTGTCCAGCTCTTTGCTGTGGCCCGGGAGGGCGGTGGAGGATGGCCCAAGTGCTTGGGTCCCTGCACCCACGTGCAGACCTGGAAGAAGCTCCTGGCTCCTGGCTTCGGATCGGCACAGCTCCAGCCGTTGCAGCCAATTGGAGAGTGAACCAATGGAAGAAAGACCTTTCTCTCTGTCTCTCTCTGTAAACTCTACCTGTCAAATAAAAAAAAAAGAGAGATTATTTATTTGAAAGAGAGACAGAGCTCTTCCGTCGGCTGGTGCACTCCCCACGTGGCTGCAGGAGCCAGGAGCGCCGTCCGGGTCTCTCTGGGTGGCAGCCTTGAGCCCGTCGTGTGCTGCCTCTAGGACCCCAGCGGGGCGCTGGGTTGTCCGCCTGGCAGCCGGGCCTCCTCTGAGGCCTTGTGTGAATCCGTGATGATCTCCAACTGAGCCGGCTGGGAGCTGTCCGAGCCGCAGGGGTGCTGCCGCGCGGGCCGCCGCGGGGGGCGCTGTCGAGCGCGCCTGGCCGCCTGCACTAAGGGGCAGGACCCTCGCTGCCCAGCTTCTCGGGGAGCGCGCCAGGAGGGGCGCAGCCGGGCACGAGCAGGTCTCATGCAGTCAGTGTGCCCTCCCCAGCGCCTTCCCCACAGCACCGCTTTTCTGGCCACGTGAGGCTTTCTCTCCCAGGGCCACACAGCTGGTCACTCCTCGCCTCCTGCCTTTGCTGGTCACATCCACGTGATCTGTAAGGGGGGGTAGGGGCACGGCTGGGTGGTGGCTGCTGGGTCACAGCTAGCAGGAGTACGAAGGGTGACCATGGCCAGCAACGATGCACTGTGCATTTAAAACAAAACTGGGCCCGTGTCGTGGGCCAGGCTGAGCCGCCACTTATACATGTCAGGGCGCCGGTTCAACCCCTGGCTGCTCTCTGCTTCTGATCCAACTTCCTGCTGTTGGCCTGGGAGAGCAACAGAAGATGGACCAAGCGCCTGGACCCCTGCTGTCCACATGGGAGACCCAGATGCAGTTCCAGCTCCTGGCTTAGCCTGGCCCAGTGCAGGCTGTTGGGGCCATCTGGGGAGTGAACCAGCAGATGGCAGACCTCTCTGTCTCCTCTGTCACCCTGCTTGCAAATAAACAAAATACATCTTTTAAAAAATATATTTTATTTATTTATTTGAGATGTAGAGTTACAGACAGAGACAGAGAGAGAGGTCTTCCATCCTCTGGTTCACTCCCCAGATGGCCTCAATGGCCAGCGCTGTGCCAGTGCGGAGCCAGGAGCCAGGAGCTTCTTCCAGGTCTCCCACGTGGGTGCAGGGGCCCAAGGTCCTGGGCATCCTCCACTGCCTTCCCAGGCCACCGCAGAGAGCTGAATCGGAAGAGGAGCAGCCGGGACTAGAATCAGCGCCCACATGGGATGCTGGCACCGCAGGCGGAGGATTAACCAAGTGAGCCATGGCGCTGGGCCCCAATAAAATACATCTTTAAAAAAAAAAAAAAAACAAAACTAGAAGCCAGGATTCTGTGTGTTTTCGCCCAGGGAGATGCGTGTGTGGGGAGCAGGCATTTAGCTGGGACGCCACGAGACCTCTGCTTGTACCAGACGTCCGTGGTGCCCCAGGAACACGTAGCTTCTGTGGGTCCACGGCCAATTCGTAGACTCTTTTACAAAACTTCACCTCTGCTGAAGTCCCGCTTTGCCCTCACTGCCTGGGACCCGCAGCGCCACGTCCTTTCCTTGGGGTCACCCTCACCCCTCCCCACCCCGGGGCAGGCTGAGGGCGGGCTTTGCCCCTGCTTGTTCTGCCCTGGGCTCCATGTCTGTGACTCAGGCAACCTCGCGAGGGCTCCAGGTGGGTTTCCCGCAGGACCGTGCTGTGTGTTGAAAACTCACGCAAGCCGCACACTGGCCGACCTCCCAGGTGTGGGGAGGGACCCCAGTGCCCTCGGCCCCTGCCTGCGGAGGCCAGGCTGGGAGTGAGTGGCCGCTGGTCCAGGCCCAGCACGGAGCCCCTCTCAGCCTCGCACCAAGAGCCAGGCAGGAGCTTCCTCTGGGTCCCCCGTGTGGGAGCAGGAGCCAAGCACCTGGGCTGCCCTCGGCTGCCTTCCCAGGCCACAGCAGGGAGCTGGATCAGAAGTGGAGCAGCCGGGGCTCGAACCGGCAATGCCAGCATCACAGGCCTCAGCTTAACACGCTGCGCCACAAGGCTGGCCCCACTTGCACATGTTTTTAAGAATATTTATTTTGTGTTCATTTACTTGAAAGAGGGAGAGGGAGATAGAGAATTCTCCATCTGTTGGTTCACTCCCCAAATGGCCGCAGCAGCTCGGGCAGGGACCACATGGTACAGCCAGCATCCCTGCCTCCCGGGATGCGCAGTGGGAAGCCGGTGGGAGGCAGAGCGGTGGGGCTGAGCCAGGCACCCCCACCATGGTCCAGTGGGAGGCAGAGCAGTGGGGCTGAGCCAGGCACCCCCCCCTGTGGTCCCAGGATGCCCAGCGGGAAGCTGGTGGGAGGCAGAGCGGTGGGGCTGAGCCAGGCACCCCCCCCCCGTGGTCCCAGGATGCTCAGCGGGAAGCCGGTGGGAGGCAGGGCAGTGGGGCTGAGCCAGGTACCCCCCTCCCCGTGTCCCAGGATGCCCAGTGGGAAGCCGGTGGGAGGCAGGGCAGTGGGGTTGAGCCAGGCACCCCGCCGTGGGATGCGGGCGTTCCCTGTGGCCCGACCCATTGCACCACCACACCCGCCGCTGCAGGTCTGTCCTTGGAAGTGCTTGTAGCTGGGACCCCTCAGTGGCAGGGGGGGGGGGTCCCCGAGGAGGCTGCCTGCATGGGATGCACTGGTGGGGCTGCCTCCAGGGGTCCCAGAGACCCTGAGCTGCTCGCTGTGGGGCCCTGGGACCTCGCTCCTTTTTTTTTTTTTTTTAATTTATTTTATTTATTTGAAAGAGTTACAGATAGAGGTAGAGCCAGAGAGAGAGAGAGGGAGAGCGCTTCCATCTGCTGGTTCACTCCCCAGTTGGTCTCAACAGCCGGAGCTGAGCTGATCCAAAGCCAGGAACCAGGAGCTTCTTCTGGGTCTCCCACACCATGCAGGGGCCCAAGCACTTGGGCATCTTCTACTGCTTTCCCAGGCCATTAGCAAGGAGCTGGATTGGAAGTGGAGCGGCCGGGACTGGAACCTGCGCCCATGTGGGGGGCCGGCACTGCAGGTGGCGGCCTTACCTGCTGCACCACAGTGTGGGCCCTGGGAACCTCGCCCCTAGCAGTGCCTTGTGAATCCTGGAAGCCGGCTCGAGTGTTCGCGGCACTTCCTGTGGGGGGGAGCGCCCTGCTGACCCAGGGAAGCTTGCGCAGATGCAGACGGCGCCTTTCTGAGCAGCTCCCGGCGACGGGTTCTTCAGCTCCCCGCGCAGGGTGCTGGGCACCGAGCACCCCGGAGCTGGGCAGGGGCAGGGGGTCGGAGGACCCATTCCAAGCCTGCCTGTCCTGGTCAAACATCTGTGGCACAGACAGCGTGCGTGCCGCCCGGTGACGTCTTGAGAGCCGGGACGGTGGAGGAGGCGGAGGGTGTCTGGGCGGTGAGGCGGGGCTGCGTCTATGGGGTCCTGGGGGTGACCCGGGGACGCTGACCACACCCGGGGGTGTGGTGGGCGGGGCCGGGGGCGTGGCCGCTGGGGAGGGCGCTAGATAGGGCCGAATCTGTAATCGAGGGTCAAGCCTGTGGCCGGCGTGGGTGCTGTGGATGGGGCCGAGTGGACGCCGATGGTCCAGGCTGCCGACGAAGCGTTAAACACGTGGAGGGGGAATAGAGAAGTGGCGCGCATGCGCACCTGTGAACAGCGGGCAGCACCCTGGAGAGCGAAACCTGCAGCCGTGACTTAGAAACGCAGCGGAGCCGAGAGGAGGGGCCGGGGTGGGGGCTGCACATGCAAAGCCGCCGGCCTTGAGGCAGGGGCTGGGGCGAGTCGGGGGGCAGAGAAGGGCCCGATCGTGGCCAGGAGTCGGCCCCAGGGTCAGTGGGAAACCGCTGAAGTGGCAGGCTGGCAGGCCAGGGCCAGAGCTGGCGGGCGGGAGGTGGGTGTGGCGAAGGGAGGCGGAGCTAGGGCTGCGGGTGGGAGGTGGAGCTAGGGCTGCGGGCAGGATGGTTCCGGCTCCAGATCACCCTGGCTATTCCAGATCACCCTGGGGCTCCAGATCACCCTGGCTATTCCAGATCACCCTGGGGCTCCAGATCACCCTGGGGCTCCAGATCACCCTGGGGCTCCAGATCACCCTGGCGGCTCTGATCCCCGAGCTGGGAGTGGGAGGGGCTCCCCGGCAGGGAAGCTGGAGCGGCCAGGCGGTCTGTTGACCCTTGACCTTGGAGTTGCTGAGGGCTTCCCGGGAAGGTGCAGGTGGGCAGCTGGACACACGCGTGGGTCTCGCCGTGGCTTCTGTGTGAGCTGCAGAGGTGGATGTGGCCGTGGTGGGGACGGGAAAGCCAGGGGGCGAGGGGGAGGGGCGGCCCAGGAGAGACACAGGGCAGAGGGCTCTGTGTCCAGCACAGCCGGGTCAGGTTGGGTGGGAAGAGCTGCTCCTTGGGCTGGGCACGCGCCGGGACCGCTTGAGTGGCCGGACCTGAAGAGCGCGCGGGAGATGAGGACGTGGGCGGTGCCCATGCCGCTGCACAGCCATTTCACTGTGACAAGTGTGCGCTCACGTGACACTGGTAGACAGGGCTGACGGTGAGAACTGTCGCCCCGGCCAGCCGCCGCCCGCTCCTGCCGATCCTGGCGCGTCCAATCCTCCAGCCAGGGCTGGCCCCAAACCCTGCTTGTATCGCTCTGTGAACACTTGAGCAGCCCCTCCCCCCGCCACTCCGCAGGGGCTCCGTTCCCAGACCCCCGGGATGGCGGCCGTGGCAGGTGCTCCTGGGCGCTGTGTTCCTGTGGGTAACTGGCCGGCGAAGCGGCTGCTGACAGCGGATTAGATAGAATACGCTGTGATGAAAGGATGGGGACGCGGTCTCCCTCTCTCAGGAGAGTCAAGACAGATATTCACGTGTGGGGCCGTGGCTGCCGTGGGCGCAGGAACCGTGGAAGGGGCGGCCTCTGGGGGGAAGCCACACAGCACAGCGGCACACTGGACGTGTTTCGCGCTCGTTCCCACAGTGCTCGGCTCTCAGCAGGTTTCTGGTTGCCGGACGGAAGCCCTGGCTCTCAGGCGCAGCAGGTGCAATGCCCACATCCCGTATCGGACTGCATTTGGGACTTTCTTTGCATTGCATTTGATTTATGTATGTGAGAGGCAGAGTGACAGAAGGGGAGAGCGAGGGAAGTCTCACTGGAGAGAGAGCTGTTTCACTCCCCAGGTGGCTGCAGCAGCTCAGGCTGGATCAGGTTGAAGCCAGCAGCCAGGAACTCCATCCGGGTCTCCCACGCGGGTGTCAGGATGTGAGCCATCATCTGCTGCTTCCCGGTGCATTAGCCGGGAGCTGGATTGGGAGCAGAGTTGTCGGGACTCAAACCAGCACTCTGATAACGGAAGTGGCTTAACCCACCGCACCGCAGTGCCAGCCCCTGGGCGTCTTGTTTGAACTTGTTTCGTTTTTTAAAAAGATTTATTGTTATTTATTTGAAATATAGAGTTACAGAGAGAGGGAGAGAGAGAGGTCTTCCATCTGCTGGTTTACTCCCCAAATGGCCACAACAGCTGGAGCTGGGCCAATCCGAAACCAGGAGCCAGGAGCTTCTTCCGGGTCTCCTACATGGATGCAGGAGCCCAAGGACTTGGGCCATCCTCCACTGCCTTCCCAGGCCGTAGCAGGGAGCTGGATCAGAAGAGGAGCAGCTGGGACTCGAACCGGTGCCCATATGGGATGTCAGCCCTGCAGGCTGGGGTTTTATCCTGCTATGCCACAGCACCAGACCCTGAACTTGTTTTTAACACTTGTCACCAGCGCCTACCGGGCGAGCTGCACTTGTCATTAAGAACCTAGCCTGGGCCACGCTGTCCCCTTACCACCAGGTTGGGTGCACCTGAGCCCCGCTGACTGCATATTGAACTTGATTTCCCGAGGGAGACCGGAGTCTCTCGTGGTTACCGCTGTGCAGGTGGGTGTTTCCTCCGAGTGTCCCAGGGTTCTCAGACCTGAGCCATGACACGGTCACCTGTGAGCCCTCAGACAGAGCCAGCCACACCCTGGAGCCAGTCCGAAGGTCTGGGTGGGGCTGAGTTTCCTAGAAGCCTCCAGGCCGTGTGCCCCTGCCGCTTCCTGGCGCAGACCCACCGTGTACGGAGTTTGCCTGGGGTCGGCGTCCCCGTGGAGCGGCCTGCACTTTAGTCCTCCCCAAGCCCTCTCTTCCTCCAGGCCTCGGCTGGGGTTTCTTCCAGGCTCAGCAGTCTGGAGGCCCCCCCTTCTGCAGTGGGACACCGCGACTGCGGCGGGATGTTGCCCCGACAGCAGAGGCTTGGAAGCTGAGGCCTCCCACCGCCCAGGGCGGCTGTGCCGTCTGATCCTGGCTGAGAACTGCAGAGTGGCCGGGACAGGGCCCAGGGCCACTGCTCTAAGGGCCTCGGGCCGTGACACGCAGTACGAGGGCTGCAGCCACCGGGGCCCCTGCCTGGCTGCACTGTCGGCCAGGGCACAGCTCTGGGGACAGGCGGCCGCCCCGGGCCTCTCCAGCCGCAAGACCAGAGTGAGCGCCCCTTGTCCTCTGTGGTCTGCGGGGATCTTCCAAGGCCCATTTCCCACCATGCACTGGACCACAGCAGAGCTGGCGGGGGAGCAGGAGCTCGGGGTCCGGGGACACACGCACACCTCCCCAGCGTAGCCCCCGGCGTGGTGGGGTGGGCAGTCTGCCTGCCGGTCCTCCTGCTGCGGTGGTGGGCGGAGTGGGGCCAGGAGTCTGTGGGTTAGGTCTCAGGGGCAGCCCCACAGGGGACACCAGCGCCCGGCAGGAGGAACGGTGGCCTGGCAGCACACGCTGGGTGCGGCTCCCGCGAGGCCCTGCACCCGAGCCCAGACCGCAGCCCGAGCCGTGCTCAGCCGCCTGCCCAGAGGTGGTTTCCAGGGTGCGTGGCTGGACGGGCCGAGCCCTGAGGGACAGGACGTCCTCGCGGCGCCGTGCGCTGCCTTAGTCCCAGAGAGCTGGGTGTGCGGCGGCGCTCGGCGCGAGGCAGAGGCCAGAGAGAGGAGCTGTGCCCCGGGAGGTTGCCCCTGAGGGATTCACTGCCCACTGAGCGAGGAAAAGACGTTGGTGTGAAAAGTAGCCAGGACTCGAACCGTAGCGGGCAAAGCCCCTGCCTGTGGCGCCAGCATCCCATGTGGGCGCCGGTTCGAGTCCCAGCTGCTCCCCTTCCGATCCAGCTCTCTGCTGTGGCCTGGAGAAGCAGTGGAAGATGTCCAGGTGCTTGGGTCCCTGCACCCACGTGGGAGACCCAGAAGAAGCTCCTGGCTGCTGGCTTCGGATCAGCCCCGTTGCAGCCATCTGGGGAGTGAACCAGTGGGTGGAAGATCTCTGTCTCTCCCTCTCACTGTCTGTAACTCTACCTCTTAAATAAATAAATAAATAAATAAATTTTTTTTTAAGTGGTAGTCTTTATTTTAGCAGTGGAAAGAACTGCTGGTGTGAAAGGTGAAAGTCGGAGCTCATGAGGAACCCCTAACCCGAGGCCGTTCAAGTCCAGGGCTTGTATTGGAAACATTTATCTTAGGGGGAACAGGGCTTCAGGACTCCCAGCCCACAGCCGGAGGAGACCCCACCACTGTCTCCTTTTTGACACAGCGTGAGGTCTCTGCCCAGGCTGGGGAGGCCTCTGGTAGCTGTCTGTGAAACGGCTGTGGCCAAAGCGCGTCCCTAACCAGGCTCTTTCGTGCCCCGACAGGTGTCAGAGATGGCGGAAGATGGCAGCGACGAGATCATGTTCGTCTGTAAGTGACCGTGCACCTGTCCGGGACCAGCGTGCGGCCGCGGCGCCTGCTGTCTGGGCTCAGCCGCACCCGCGTGTGGTTCTGTGGAACAGAGAAGCTGGGTCAGAGTTGCAGGACTCTGCCCGCCTTCAGGAACGGGATGTAGGGCGGGAGCAGGCGCCTGCCCGGTGGTGGTGACAGGACCACTTCTCAGGGCTGCCAGCAGAGGGCGCCTTACAGGGGGCAGCGCTGGGTCGGCACAGGCTTGGAGAGCGGGGCTGTGGCTCTGTGGCCCGCCCTCACTGGTGACCTGATTCTCCTGTTCTTCACCACCCAGAGGTGGCCGTGTGGCCGCGAGTGTGCCGCCAGCAGCACCTCTTCCTGCGGGAGGGGTTCTCGTTACACACGGCACGTACTTGCCTTAGTACCTCTCGTGTCACCACACGGTGCTTGTCTTAATACCCCTGGTGCTTCTCTGTGGGTACTTGCTTTAGTACCTCTCATGTCCCCACATGGGTGCTTGCCTTAGTACCTCTTGTGTCCCCACGCAGGTGCTTCTCTGTGGGTACTTGCCTTAGTACCTCTCATGTCCCCACACAGGTGCTTGCCTTAGTACCTCTCGTGTCCCCTTGTGGGTACTTGCCTTAGTACCTCTCGTGTCCCCTTGTGGGTGCTTGTCTTAGTACCCCTGGTGCTTCTCTGTGGGTACTTGCCTTAGTACCCAGCGTGTCTCCAGGCAGGTGCTTGCTGAAGGACTCTGCAGCTGTGGGGTACTGGGGGTGGTGCCCTGGCTTGCTTGCTTTGTTATGCGACTCGGGTGTGTCTCACCCGTTCAGGAGGGGTCCCAGTACCCAGGTTGCATTGTGGGGGGTCTCCGTCCCTGAATCCCGCCTGCTGACAGAAGCTTTGCCCTCTGACGCTCACCCTCTGATGCCCTGCCCTCTGACGCCCCGCCCCATGCTCTGACGCCCCACCCTCTGATGCCCCGCCCCATGCTCTGACGCCCCGCCCTCTGATGCCCCGCCCCATGCTCTGACGCCCCGCCCTCTGATGCCCCGCCCCACCCTCTGATGCCCCGCCCTCTGATGCCCCACCCCATCCTCTGACACCCCGCCCCTTGATGCCCCGCCCCATGCTCTGACACCTGCCCCTGACGCCCCGCCCCATGCTCTGATGCCCCGCCCCATGCTCTGACACCTGCCCCTGACGCCCCGCCCCATGCTCTGATGCCCCGCCCCATGCTCTGACGCCCCGCCCCATGCTCTGATGCCCCGCCCCCTGATGCCCCACCCCACCCTCTGACGCCCTGCCCCATGCTCTGACACACCACCCTCTGCCGCCCTGCCCTGACGCCCCGCCCCCTGATGCCCCACCTTCTGACACCCGCCCCCTGACGCCCCGCCCCATGCTCTGATGCCCCGCCCCATGCTCTGACACCTGCCCCTGACGCCCCGCCCCATGCTCTGATGCCCCGCCCCATGCTCTGACACCCCACCCCATGCTCTGACACCCGCCCTGATGCCCCGCCCCATGCTCTGATGCCCCGCCCCACCCTCTGACGCCCCACCCCATGCTCTGACACCCGCCCTGATGCCCCGCCCCATGCTCTGACGCCCCGCCCTCTGACACCCCACCCCACCCTCTGATGCCCTTCCCTCTGACGCCCTGCCCCACCCTCTGACACTCCACCCTCTGCCGCCCCGCCCCCTGATGCCCCACCCCACCCTCTGACGCCCGCCCTCTGACATGTGCTTGCAGGGTGTGAAGACTGCAGCCAGTACCACGACTCCGAGTGTCCCGAGCTGGGCCCAGTGGTCACGGTGAAAGACTCCTTTGTGCTGAGCAGGGCCAGGTGAGTGACCGCCCCGTGTCGCCGAGCTTCCCGGAGCTCGGGGTCCCTGGGACACCACCGTCAGCACGCGCACGGCTGCGTGGCCACACCGGTCTGTGTGTCGAGTGACGGGGCCAAGCAGGTTCCCCAGTGGCTCTTGTCTGTGTTCCCAGCCCAGAGGTGCAGTGGCAGGTGCACCCGGTGGGCGGGGGCCCAGGGCCCGCCTGGAGGTAGCCAGCGGGACTCGCTCCAGGGCTGCTCCCCCAGCCCGAGCCGCGCAGGGGAGGTGCGGGAAGTGGCAGGCACGCGGGAGGCTGGCCCGTGTGACACTGAAGGTGCCGCTGCCCTGTCAGCCTGGCTCAGCAGCCTCCGTGCGCCCCCCCAGCACACCACTTACCTGTTCTTTGCTCAGTGTGACGCAGCTTCGCGAAAGCAGAGTGCAGAGTTCATTTGCCTGAAGGTGAGAGCCGTCAGCTCCCGGAGCCTCTGGGGCCGCCCGTCGCCCACGAAAGTTCAGTTGAGGGGCCGGCGCCATGGCGCAGTAGGTTGATCCTCCACCTGTGGCGCCGGCATCCCACATGGGTGCTTGTTCGAGTCCTGGCTGCTCCTCTTCCAATCCAGCTCCCTGCTGTGGCCTGGGAAAGCAGTGGACGATGGCCCAAGTCCTTGGGCCCCTGCACCCACGTGGGAGACCCAGAAGAAGCTCCTGGCTCCTGGCTCGGATCGGTGCAGCTCCGGCTCCTGCGGCCATCTGGGGAGTGAACCAGTGGAAGGAAGACCTCTCTCTCTCTCTCTCTGTAACTCTACCTCTCAAATAAATAAAATCTTTTTTAAAAAAAAAAAAGTTCAGTTGAAAGTGCTGGTCCCATGGTGGGAGCCCTCTGGGTGGGCTCCCGGGACCCAGCACCCTGGTGTCTGCCTCCGCCTCCGCCTCTGCCTCTTTTTTTTTTTTTTCCAAAGATTTATTTATTTATTTGAAAGTTAGAGTTACAAAGAGAGAGAGAGAGAGGTCTTCCATCCCTGGTTCACTCCCCAGATGGCCACAATGGCCAGAGCTGGGCTGATCCGAAGCCAGGAGCTTCTTTCGGGTCTCCCACGTGGGTGCAGGGGCCCAAGCACTTGGGCATCTTCCACTGCTTTCCCAGGTCACAGCAGAGAGCTGGATCGGAAGTGGAGCAGCTGGGACTCGAACCGGCACCCATATGGGATGCCGGCACTGCTGGCGGTGGCTTAATCTACTATGTGTCTGGTTTTTTTTTTTTTTTTTTTTTTTTTTTAAGATTTATTTGAAAGGCAAAGTTACAGAGAAAAAGGGAGAGACAGAGGAGCAAGAGGAGTCTTCCATCTACTGGTTCACCTCCCCCCACCACACCCTCGAATGGTTGCAGTGGTCAGGGTTGGGCCAGGCCAAAGCCAGGAGCCAGGATCCAGCAGCTCCATCCTGGTTTCCCACGTGGGTGCAGGGGCCCAAGCACTTGGGCCATCGTCTGCTGCTTTCCCAGGCCACAGCAGGGAGCTGGACTGGAAGTGGAGGAGCCGGGATTCCAACTGTGCCCATGTAGGATGGTGGCGTCCCAGGCTGTGGCTTAACCCACAGTGCCACAACGCCGGCCCCTCACCCCACGTGGAGTCTCCACCCGTGTCCTCGCCTCCTCCCGCACCCTGTCCCTGACGGTCTCCTAGTTCAGTGAGAAGGGCCACCTCCGCAGTGACATGGCCACCTCAGCTGGCTGGGGACTCGTGCCAGTCTTGTGCAGTTTCCTGTGACCCCCTCCCCATGTCTCCCCTCTGCTCTCCGCGTGCCCTGCATCGTGCGGTGCCCGCCGGGTGCCCGCCGTCCTCCCCGGGGTCGAACGCGTCCTTCCGTGCATGCATGGCCACCCCCAGGGGCCCAGCTGGATCTTGCCAGCCCCTCGCGGTGGGAGTTGAGCTGAGCCCCAGGGAGCCCCATGACCAGGGGAGGGAGAGGGAGTCCTCCCAGCCTCGACGTCAGCCTGGCTCCGCTCTCCCTGGGCGAGCCGTGTTCTGTCTCCCGTGGGCCTCGGCAGAGCCACCCCCAGGGCGTCCTGACCTGCCGGCCCCTGCTGCCGTGGCCGCGGGCTGGGGCCCCCGTGAGCCGCGCGTTCACTTCCAGGTCATCGCTTCCCTCCAACTTGGAGATCCGGCGGCTGGAGGACGGGGCCGAAGGCGTGTTCGCCGTCACGCAGCTGGTCAAGCGCACGCAGTTTGGGCCGTTCGAGTCCAGGAGGGTCGCCAAGTGGGAGAAGGAGTCAGCGTTTCCCCTCAAGGTGAGCGCCGCTGCCCGCAGGCGTGCGGGAAGCCGCCGTGGCCACCCCGCGGCAACGCCGTGCCAGTGCCTTGGCAAAGCCCCTGAAGCTGTGGCTCTGCTTAGCTTCCAGGAAAATGTTCCGTGTTTTTCACTGGTTTTCCTAGTCCAGGAGCCTGATGGGTAAGTCGGTGCTTTGTAGTGATCGGTGTTGCACTGGAGAGCGGTCCGAGCCGAGCCGTGTGCGGAGGGCGCCCGGCAGGCTGGCGTTGGGCGGCGTCTTGATCGCACACCTGCACAGAGTGGGGGTGGCCCTGCCGAGCTTCTTGTCCGGGCAGCGAGGGGACACAGCCGATGATGGCAGAACAGCTGGCGAGAGACGCGGCCTGAGCCCGGCGGAGGGAGCCAGTGGCCGTGGGCTTCGGCCATGGGCTTCGGCCGTCCTCTGGGAAGCTGAGCTTACAGGACCATCTCGGCAGCAAGCAGAAGGAAGGGCACTGGGTTTACTGATGAGAGAGAGAACAGGGGGGAGGGGAGCGAGAGGGCGGAGACCCGGCTGCAGAAGGCAGCTGGCCGCGGGCCTGCTGGGGACGCACCGGCGACCAGGGCCCTTGGGGAGAAGTCGTCCGTGCCCACCGGGTGTCATTCCCGTTCCCTGATCCTGAGGGTCGGCCTCGGGGATTGCGTGGGTTGGGGGCCCACCCCGGCCGCCGGCAGCCGTGTGCTCCAGGCAGTTTCCCAAAGCCCCCAGAGCCAAGGGCTGTGGGCTGGGCACCCGCCTCCCGGGACCCCTGCCTCCTCCCCCCACTCCACGGGCGCTGTCCTTTGAGGGGCTCCTCCAGGAGGGTCTCCGTGGAGGTGAGAGGTCGCCTAAGCGAGAGTCCATCAGAGGACAGGGCGTGAACCCCCCCCCCAACACACACACGTGGGGTTAGGGGTTAGTTTGGCTTTCAGAATGTTTGCTCCCGCCCCGCCCCTACCTGCAGCACTGCTGGGCCCCAGGAGGGGCGGCTTAGAAAGTGCAAGGAGCTTTGCCGATGCCGCCCGGCGCGCTCGTAACAGGGCCAGGAGTGGGACTCAGCTGTCCCCGGTGCCCACGCGTGTCCAGTTCACAGCTGCACCGAGCAGAGAGGCTAGCGTCCCAGGAATGTCACGGGCTGTGAGTGGGCATGTAGTAGCGTCCCTTAGGCCATGCCATGCCCACTGGGAACCAATGCAAGGGTGCAAGCCCTCCCCACGGGCAGGAGTGGAACTCAGCTGTCCTGACCGTCCCTGACGGTCCCCAGGCCGGGTGCAGAGCTCGGGTCCCTGTGTCCTTGTGGAACGCGAGTGGATTGTAGGCATCTGGTGCCACCGGGCCACGTGTGGAGCGCAGGCGTCCGGGGACGGAGGTGTCCTGGTGAAACAGCGCCCTCTGCTGGTGTCTCCTGCTTCCTCCTGCCTGCGGCCAGCCTGGCCGGGCTCAGCCGGGGTCCGCCTGGTGCCCTCCACCCGTGGACAGCCGTGTCTGGGCCTGGCCCCGCCCGTGTAACCCGCCCCCCCGCCCCGGTGGGCGGGGCTTGCCCTCAGGTGTTCCAGAAAGACGGGCACCCCGTGTGCTTCGACACCTCCAACGAGGACGACTGCAACTGGATGATGCTGGTGCGGCCGGCGGCCGAGGCCGAGCAGCAGAACCTCACCGCCTACCAGCACGGCGGCGACGTGTACTTCACCACCTCGCGGGACATCCCTGCCGGCACCGAGCTGCGCGTGTGGTACGCCGCCTTCTACGCCAAGAAGATGGACAAGCCCATGCTGCGGCCGGCCTGCCCCGGCGTCCACGGTACCCCGACCCCAGGCCTGGCGGGAAGCTGTGCTGGGGGTGGGGGGTTGGGCAGCGGGCCCCACCCTGGCCGGGAGCTGTGCCGGGGGTGCGGGCGGCCGGCCCCACCCCGGCCAGTCCTTGCTGAGACTCGGGTCAGCGGGCAGCTCCGCCCTGGACGGAGCACAGCCAGGGCCCAGCTCTGCCCCGGGCGCTCCGCCCAGCGGCCCCTCCCAGTCCTGCAGGTGGGAGCGTGGTTCCCATGTGGGGGCAGAGGGAGCAGCCCAGAGAGGGGCAGGAACTGGCCCAAGGTCACGGTGCAGTACAGGCAGCACCGGCTGCAGTGTTGGCGCTGTCCACAGGGCCCGTGTGTGTGTGTGTGTGTGTGTGTGTGTGTGAGTACACGCATGAGCAGACGTGCATGTGTGCCAGTGTCCACGCGTGTGGCCGAGCCTGTGTGTATATGCACACCAGTGTGTGTACTTGCAGGTGCACGTGTATCTGTGTGTGTGTGGGTGCACACACGTGTGTTAATGTGTGTTCACAGGCCTAGGCGTGGCCCCATGAACCATTTGCCCAAGTCCTTGCTGCTGTAGGAACCAACTGCGGTGCCACGACTAACCAGGGTCCGAGGCGTCGTGTTGTTCGTGTGGGGCTCCCTGCTGGGTTTTGAATCTCCCTTATCCCCGTGGGGGAGGGTCTTCACGTTACCCGGGAAACCCTGTGGAATCACCGGTATGTGCTGGAGCGTGACCTCAGAGCACGGTTTCCCTTGTCGGGGCCTCGTGCCGCCGGGGGAGCCGGCGTGGTTCGTGGTTGCCATGGAGATCGGCTGCTCAAGGGGCGACACTGGCTTGGCTGCTGCGACCCCGCAGCGACCGGGGTCTCACGTGAAAGTCAGCTCCCTGCTCTCGCAGTGCGGTCCAGGCAGCCATGGAGAACGATTCTTGACACGTTTGGAACCTTCTGGTCTGTGCTGGGTTGATTCCTTGTAAGTGAGGTTTTCAGTAATGCCCCCAGGTCAGGGGAGTGCAGGAGCCTGAGATGGCCACAGGGTGTCCTGGGCTGCCCCAACAGATGCCACCCGCGGGGAGCTTGGCCCCAGAAACGCATCCCCCCAGCTCGAGGCTGGGGGTCCGAGGGCACGGCGTTGGCGGGCTTGGATTCCCCAGGGTCTCAGGGAGAGCGTCTGTCTCCGGCCCCCAGCTCCTGGCGCTGCCAGCCTTCTGGGCCGGGGCGTGCGTCACCCCACCCCCCGCTTCTGTCTTCTCCCTGTGTCTCTGTGTCTCGGCCTCATAAGGACAGGGGGTGGCTCTGTCCAGTGTGACCCCACCTTGAACCCCCCTGCAAAGATCCTGTTGCCAAGGTTCTAGGCAGGCTTGGGTTCTGGGGGCCCCGTGGAGCCCACTGCTGGCTGGTGAGGGCTGGTGGCATGGGAGCTGCTGGGGTGCTGGCAGGAACGTGGGTGGGGGCTGCAGGACGAGGGTGCGCCCTCTGCAGACACCCAGGACGACCACGCGCCGTGTGCAGAGTTCCGTGTGTTGATAGCCAAGGGCACAAGATCAGGAGAGCTCAACCCTCCCTTCCGGCACCCAGGCCCCGCCCCTCGGCTTTGCTGATCCCGCTACCCGGCCTGCCCTGGGGCAGCGCCCACTTGCTCAGAGCCACAGTGGGGCTGGGTTCCCCGGGCAGCTTCCACGTCGCTGAGATCTGGGCCTGGGTTTCTCATGTCCTCAAGGCCTGGGCAGCGGCCACTCTGTGCCCGTGACCGGCTCTAACTGCCCGTCACAGCGGGGTGTGGTCATTAGAGGCTGCCTTGAGTCCTGGATGACGTCACAGCCCTCACGGCTCGCAAGGTCAAAGTCAGAGGTCACTGCCTTTGTTGGAGTAGTGGTTCTGAGTGCTCTTCCCGTGCTGGGAAACCCTTTAAACCGGAACTGAGCCTGAAATGCATTTTAGCACAGTTAGCCGGGACCGCGGGGGGCAGCAGAGCCACCTCCCGCCCGAGGGGACCCTGGGGTGGCCCGTGACTCCTGTGCACGCGGCAATGGTCAGACCGGATCTTGGTGTGAGCGGAGTGCGGGCTCACTCTGAGCACACCCCACCCGCCGCTGGCTTCTGACCGGGGAAGGGAGTGAGTGACTCGGGGACTGAAGCCGAGAGAGGTGCGTCCTGTGGCTGTCGCTTCTGGCTGGGACGCACGGCAGCAGGTGTTTCTGGAAAAGCCGAGTCATTGGCGCTGGTGAATTGGTTGGTTGTTGCATTCCTTGTGTTCTCTCTACCTGTGGAATGCCCACCACGCCCTCCAGCACCGACACTCTGGGCAGACGGTACCTGGGGTCCCACCTGCCCCAGGCCTCCCTGGAACCCACCCACGCCCTTCCCCAGCCCCCAGGAGGCGCCCAGGGCACAGCACCATTCTGGAAGGGGCGCGCCTAGCACCTTGCCCAGCTGACGCCAGGTGTGGGAGCCCCCACCGCCTGCTACTTAGGAACTGTGTCTCAATAGATGATGGGTTCCGGGGAGGGGTGAGAAGCCTCAGAGCTGGGGCCTGCGTGATCCTGGCCCCAGGTTCAGCGTGTGCAGGGCTGGGGGCCTGCGTAACCCTGGAGCAGGTTCAGTGTGCAGGGCTGGGGGCCTGCGTGACCCTGGCCCCAGGTTCAGCGTGTGCAGGGCTGGGGGCCTGCGTAACCCTGGAGCAGGTTCAGTGTGCAGGGCTGGGGGCCTGCGTGACCCTGGAGCAGGTTCAGCGTGTGTAGGGCTGGGGGCTGCGTGACCCTGGAGCAGGTTCAGCGTGTGCAGGGCTGGGGGCTGCGTGACCCTGGAGCAGGTTCAGCGTGTGCAGGGCTGGGGGCTGCGTGACCCTGGAGCAGGTTCAGTGTGCAGGGCTGGGGGCCTGCGTGACCCTGGAGCAGGTTCAGTGTGCAGGGCTGGGGGCCTGCGTGACCCTGGCCCCAGGTTCAGCGTGTGCAGGGCTGGGGGCCTGCGTGACCCTGGAGCAGGTTCAGTGTGCAGGGCTGGGGGCTGCGTGACCCTGGCCCCAGATTCAGCGTGTGCAGGGCTGGGGGCTGCGTGACCCTGGCCCCAGATTCAGCGTGTGCAGGGCTGGGGGCCTGCGTGACCCTGGAGCAGGTTCAGTGTGCAGGGCTGGGGGCCTGCGTGACCCTGGAGCAGGTTCAGTGTGCAGGGCTGGGGGCCTGCGTGACCCTGGAGCAGGTTCAGTGTGCAGGGCTGGGGGCCTGCGTGACCCTGGAGCAGGTTCAGCGTGTGCAGCGCTGGGGGCCTGCGTGATCCTGGCCCCAGATTCAGCGTGTGCAGGGCTGGGGGCTGCGTGACCCTGGCCCCAGGTTCAGCATGTGCAGGGCTGGGGGCTGTGTGACCCTGGCCCCAGGTTCAGCGTGTGCAGGGCTGAGGGCCTGCGTGATCCTGGCCCCAGGTTCAGTGTGTGCAGGGCTGGGGCCTGCGTGACCCTGGAGCAGGTTCAGTGTGCAGGGCTGGGGCCTGCGTGACCCTGGCCCCAGGTTCAGCGTGTGCAGGGCTGGGGGCCTGCGTGACCCTGGAGCAGGTTCAGTGTGCAGGGAGGACTGCATCGTCCAGGCAGTCAGGACTTGGCTTTGGGTGCCGGCAGTGTGACAGTTGCTGGGGGAGGGTGAAGCCCTGTGGCCGTTACTGCGCCTCTCACCCGGGGGTGGGCAGAGCCGGGCGTCCTCGGAGTGCTTCCCCCAGAAGCTGCTGGGTGCCGTGGCCGGACCCATCCAGTGGTCACTGTCTCGTTGTGTCTGGTTGTGTCCTGCACGTTCGCTCCTTCCTGACGTCAGTCAGTCTCCCAGCTTGGCGGAGCCGGGCTCCAGATAGTCTCCGCTTACGTGGCTCTGCTTGGGGGCTGTGGAGGCGGCGCGTGTCCATCGGCTCGTACGTGGGTCCTCTCTGCCATGCTGGCAGGGCCGGCAGCTCCCAGGCAGCCCTGCGGCCGAGAGGGGCACGGCAGGTGCTGCGCTGGCGCCGGGTGCACCAGGCCAAGATGGGGGTGGGGCCCGTGCTGCAGTACAGGCGCGGCCCTAGGGGCAGTGACACTCCTACAAGTCGGCCATGCGCCTCGGTCCCGGGAGCAGGTTCACTTCTCCAGCTGTGTTTCTGCTGGGCTCCCAGTGAGGGGGTTTCCTTGCCCCCGGAGGGTCAGGGACCCTCCCTGGTCCGCGTGGGCGGCAGCATGGGCTGAGCTGATGTCATCAGTAGGTGTCAGAATCATGTTCTAGAAGAAACAAGCACAGCGTGTTTCACAGCACGGGGACTGTGAATGCAGCGTGACCATGGTCACGCGGAGCCACGTGCCTGTGAGTGGCGTGGCCACAGGCGCTTGTGGCTGGCATGACCATGGGGACGTGTGGCTGGCGTGACCACGTGTGTGTGTGGTTGGCATGACCACATGTGTGTGTGGCTGGCATGACCACAGTGCCTCTGAGTGGCGTGGCCTCGGGCACATGTGGCTGGCGTGACCATGGTGCCTGTGAGGGGCGTTTTCTAGTGTTTCTGAAAGACCGGCAGTGGTGACGTCGGTCTACACCCTGCAGACCTCGCTGGTGCCCATGTGGGGTCCAGGGACCATGGCGGTTGTACACCATGGTGTGGGCTCCCCCTGGGCGCAGGAGGCTCTGCCCTGAGGTCAGGTCCTCCCTCCCCACGTGGCCCCTTCGGTTCTTGTCTTTCCCAGAGGGAGCAGCACGTTCCCTGTGGCCGGGGTCTTGGCGTCCTTGCTGCCGAGTTCCGGGGCATGGCTGCCACCGCGGGTTCTGTGGGACAGCAGCAGGCACGGGGCCACCTGGCGGCTCAGGTTCCACGCCTCTTGTTGCATGAGCCAGTGAGAGGTTGGGGGGTGAAATGCGGGTCCTGGGGGGGGCGCTTCTTCCTTGGAGTCCTAGGAGGGGCTGTGTGTGGTCCCGTCTGGCCGCAGGACAGGGCCTGCAGCGGGCGGCTCTGCGTCCACTCTGCTCAGCTCCCGCACGTGCGTGGGAGGCCGAGGGCGGTGCCTGGAGCCAGAAGCACTCATGAGGTCGCCATCAGGACGAGCCCCCGGCCCTGGGCTGAGGCTTCCCAGGGCGGGGGGGCGGCGAGCCCTCGGACATCATGTTTTCCCCTCTTGTCTCCTGCAGCTGCCGGCACCCCGGAAAGCAGCGCCCCCGCCGAGTCAGAGCCTGGCCAGTGGGCGTGCAAGGTGTGCTCGGCCACCTTCCCTGAGCTGCAGGTCCTGAACGGTGAGCTCTGGGTGTGCACTCGGGCTGGGCCCCTCAGACCTACGCCCTCTCCTCCCTGCAGAGTCACTGGGACCAGGGCCTTGGGGCTTCCTCCGCCCAAACTCAGGGGCGCTCAGCAGGCGGGTGGGTGGGTGCCAGCACCGTGTGGGCCCCTCCATTTTCTCGGCTTCCCCTCCCATTGCCCCTTTATCTGCAGACCGGCCCAGGTCCACTCTTCCACCTAAGGTGGCCAGGAAGCAGCTGGTTCCCTCCCCAGTTCTGCGGAGCCCCAGGGGATTCCTGGGGGAGTGGCTTTCTGTAGTAAAGACAGGTGGCAGGTGTCAGTCAGGGGAGCCGGGGCGGGATCCCAGGTGAGTGCAGTGTGCCTGTGCCTGGAGGCCCTGGCCCTGAACTTGTGAGGGTGTGAGCGAGGGGTCGTGGGGCAGGTGATCAGCACCAGGCCGATGGGCAGAATGTTCCGGAGCCCGTGAGAAGTTTGCAGGCAGCTACGCAGAAGTGGGCAGTGCGCAGTCTGCGCCCGCTGCGGTCTTCAGGCGGCAGAGCAGAGAGCGGAGCAGAGGCAGGGCCGGCGGGCGGACGTCTGTGTGACCCTGGGGAGACCCCAGCTCCCTGCCGTCTCCCCCAGATCCCCCCACATGGCTGCTCCCGGCGAGACCCCAGCTCCCTGCCATCTCCCCAGATCCCCCCACATGGCTGCTCCTGCGAGACCCCAGCTCCCTGCCGTCTCCCCAGATCACCCCACATGGCTGCTCCCGCGAGACCCCAGCTCCCTGCCGTCTCCCCAGATCACCCCACATGGCTGCTCCCGCGAGACCCCAGCTCCCTGCCGTCTCCCCAGATCACCCCACATGGCTGCTCCCGCGAGACCCCAGCTCCCTGCCATCTCCCCAGATCCCTCCCCCCACATGGCTGCTCCTGCGAGACCCCAGCTCCCTGCCGTCTCCCCCAGACCCCCCCCACATGGCTGCTCCCGCGAGACCCCAGCTCCCTGCCGTCTCCCCCAGATCCCCCCCCACATGGCTGCTCCCCGCAGGCCAGCAGAGCTCGGGGGTCGCGTGTGCAGGGGACCCCAAGTCGGGCTTCACCCTTTCAGCTACCTGCTCACGCCCTCCTCCCTGGGCGGGGGTGGGGGCTAGGGAATCTCTAGGAACTGCTGTTGGGGGGCAGCCTGAGGGGCCAGGGCAGTGGCCACGGCCCTCTGTGGGGATGGAGTGGGGAGGCCGAGGGGCCACGATGTCGTGACCACGCCCCTCCGGTTTGCGTGAGGGGTGAGGCTGCAAACTTGTCGTGAGAACAGGGCGCTGTAAAAATAAAAATCAGAGACCAGGAAGCAACTGAAGGTGACGTGTGGTGGGTGGCTGCCCCGAGGAGCCTCCCGGAGAGATGGGCGTGCAGCGACCACTCCTGGAGCAAAGCTGAGAAGGCGTGAGGGGCCAGGGGCGCAGCGTTCCCCAGGGAGGCGAGAGGGGCAGGGGAACCTTGGCATGAGGGGCGTGGCTGAGGGGTCCGCCCTGTGAGCGGCAGGGAGTGAACGTGACCCACAGGGAGCCACGTGCAGGAAGTGTAGGGTCGAAAGGAGTCACCAATGGCGCTAGGCCGCCACCCGCAACGCAGCTTTTCCCAGGAACAGTGGTTCAATCCCAGCTGCGCCACTTCCGATCCAGCTCCCTGCTAAAGGCCTGGGAAGGACGGCCCAGTGCTTGGGTGTGGGTGTGGGAGGGGCACCTGTCACTGTCCCTGCTGGGTGTCGGTGTGGGTGTGGGAGGGGCACCTGTCACTGTCCCTGCTGGATGTGGGTGTGGGTGTGGGAGGGGCTCCCGTCAGTGTCACTGCTGGGTGTGGGTGTGGGAGGGGCTCCCGTCAGTGTCACTGCTGGGTGTGGGTGTGGGAGGGGCTCCCGTCAGTGTCACTGCTGGGTGTGGGTGTGGGAGGGGCTCCCGTCACTGTCCTTGCTGGGTGTGGGTGTGGGAGGGGCTCCCGTCACTGTCCCTGCTGGGTGTGGGTGTGGGAGGGCTCCCGTCAGTGTCACTACTGGGTGTGGGTGTGGGAGGGGCTCCCGTCAGTGTCACTGCTGAGTGTGGATATGGGTGTGGGAGGGGCTCCCCTCACTGTCACTACTGGGTGTGGGTGTGGGAGGGGCTCCCGTCAGTGTCACTGCTGGGTGTGGGTGTGGGTGTGGGTGTGGGAGGGGCTCCCGTCAGTGTCACTGCTGGGTGTGGGTGTGGGTGTGGGAGGGGCTCCCGTCAGTGTCACTGCTGGGTGTGGGTGTGGGTGTGGGAGGGGCTCCCGTCAGTGTCACTGCTGGGTGTGGGTGTGGGTGTGGGAGGGCTCCCGTCAGTGTCACTGCTGGGTGTGGGTGTGGGAGGGGCTCCCGTCAGTGTCACTGCTGAGTGTGGGTGTGGGTGTGGGAGGGGCTCCCTCACTGTCCCTGCTGGCTGTGGGCGGGGCTCCCTCACTGTCCCTGCTGGGTGTGGGTGTGGGAGGGGCTCCCTCACTGTCCCTGCTGGCTGTGGGCGGGGCTCCCTCACTGTCCCTGCTGGGTGTGGGTGTGGGCGGGGCTCCCTCACTGTCCCTGCTGGCTGTGGGTGTGGGTGTGGGAGGGGCTCCCGTCAGTGTCACTGCTGGGTGTGGGTGTGGGACGGGCACCTGTCACTCTTCCCTCCTTGCAGAACATCTCTTGGGCCACTTGGAGCACACCAAAAGCCTTCCTCCAGGCAGCCAGAGCGAGGCGGCCGCGGAGAAGGAGCCGGAAGCGCCGCGGGGGGAGCCTGCGGCCGTGCCCGAGGGCAGGAGCGCCAAAGAGCCAAAGAGAAAGCCTCGGAGGGGCCGGAAGCCCAAAGCGGCCAGGACCGAGCAGTCGCTCGGCCTCACGGAAGACAAGGAGCCGGCAGGTGGGGCTGGGCCCCGAGGGAGTGCCGCGTGGGCACGGTCCTCCCTGGGCCGGACCCGGCGCTCTGGGCCTGCCGTAGGGGCGCCCCCACCGTGAGCAGGAGCCTCTCCTTCCCCGGCCTCTCCCTGCTCTCCCCTTGTTGTCGGGCCCGGGACTGCTGGCTTCCCGTCCACGGCATCGTGGGGCACACCTCCACGTGCGTCCCCCCATCGCTGCTTTCCAAGCAGAGCTCCGTCCCGTGTGGGTGCAGGTGGGCGTGTGGCTGTCCTCAGGCCCCCACGGGAGTCGGTGCTGTGACTGCAGCGCCTGGTTGGGTGTGGAGGGCTGTGTGACCTCACCCTGTGGGTGTGGGTCCCTGCCAGGCTCTTGTCCGGGTGCTGTCGTGTCACACCCGCCCGAGTGACAGCAGGGACACCACTCCTCTGAGAGTGGGAACTCCTTCATCGTCCTCAGAGCGAAAAGGACGAACTCAGAAGGGGCGTTTGGCGACCACTCTTAGCTTCCGCCCTTTCTCCCGGGTTCTCTCGGCTCCCAGGCCCTGTGGGCCGTGCCAGTGGTAGGAGGAGGGGCTGAGGGAGCCCTGGGGGAGCCCTGCCCTTCTGGGAACAGGGAGAAGCGGGCGATGGCGTGGCCGTGCCACTGAGTGCCCGTGGCCGTCAGGGGCCGTCCAGCAGGGGGCTGCGTGGCCTGTGGGCCCCGCCTGGCCTCGCGAGTGCTGGGCTCAGCCGGGGCCGTGTGTGCGGAAGGTCTTCGGCTTTCTGAGCATCCGCGAGGTGGATCGCCCACTACCAGACCTCTCCAGGGTGGGTTTACGAGGTGGCGAGGTGCCGCTGCGTGCCCACAGCCCAGACTGAAGTCGTGTTGTGCCACTGTTGTTTTAGACTCCCCGGTCACAGTCGTCTGGGCGACTGCAGGCTGACGGGCACAGCCTCGGTTCTCTCCGTGTCCGTCTTAGCCATTGTGCCCGCGCCTTGGGCCGCCGCTGGCCCTCTGTCCCCGCTGCCGCGGCCCTGCCCGCTGGTGACCGGCTTGTCGCGTCCCCTTCGCACAGAGCGGGTGGCAGAGATCGTCACCGAGGTCCCGCCGGACGAGCCTGCGAGCGCGCCGCCCGACGAGCGCTTCATGGAGCTGGTGTTCGGGAAGTTCACGGCCGGCACGAGCGACGGCAGCGCGGTGCCGAAGTAAGGAACCCTGGGTGCCCGGGCCCCGCACGGTGGCCGCGTCCCTGCTGGGGCCGGGCGCTGCCCAGTCCTAGAGGGTCAGGCTTCATTTCTTGGCTGGGAGCAGCCGGAAGCTTCTGGGACTCAGGCGTTAGAGTGTAAACACCTAGAAAAACACAAGTTTTCCTGCAGTGGGTAAATGTATGTAAGATAAAATGTACCATCTGCTTTTTCCTTTTTTAAAAAAATATTTAGTTATTTAAAAGAGAGAGGCGGGGAGGACAGAGACAGAAAGTCTTTTTTTTTTTAAGATTTATATATTTATTATTTGAAAGTCAGAGTTACACAGAGAGAGAGAAGAGGCAGAGAGAGAAAGAGAGAGAGAGAGGTCCTCCATTCCCTCCCCAGTTGGCTGCAACGGCTGGAGCTGCACCAATCCGAATCCAGGAGCCAGGAGCTTCTTCCGGGTCTCCCATGTGGGTGCAGGGGCCCAAGGACTTGGGCCATCTTCTACTGCTTTCCCAGGCCATAGCAGAGAGCTGGATTGGAAGACGAGCAGCTGGGACTAGAACCGGTGCCCATATGGGATGCCGGCGCTGCAGGCCAGGGTCTTAACCCACTGTGCCACAGCGCCAGCCCCAAGAGAAGTCTTCTATCCCCTGGTTCACTCCCTGCATGGCTGGAATGGCCAGGGCTAGGCCAGGCTGAAGCCAGGAGCTCCATCCGGGTCTCCCATGTAGGCACCAGAGGCCCAAGCACTTGGGCCATCGTCTGCTGCTTTCCCAGGCCACAGCAGGGAGCTGGATGGGAAGAGGAGCAGCTGGGACTTGAACCGGCGCCCACACGGGATGCGGGCTCTACCCGCTGCGCCACGACGCGGCCCCCTCTGGCTGTCGTTCACCTGTCTGCTTGTCGGGCGGGCAGGTTCAGCCACCACCAGAACAGCACCGTGGCCCTCAAGCGGAGCCTGATCCTGTCCAACCGGCACGGCCTCCGGCGCAGGCTGAGCAAGCAGCTGGCGGGGCCGCAGCGCGTGTACCAGTGCGGCGCCTGCAGCAAGGTCTTCCAGAACAGCAGCAACCTGAGCCGGCACGTGCGCTCGCACGGTGAGTGCCCCGCCCCCCCGGGACGCCCTGGCCGGTGAGTGCCCCGCCTGGTGAGTGCCCCGCCCCGCCCGGGACGCCCTGGCCGGTGAGTGCCCCGCCCGGTGAGTGCCCCGCCCGGGATGCCCTGGCCAGTGAGTGCCCCGCCCGGGACGCCCTGGCCGGCCGACGGGCGCGCCGCTGCCTCCGCCCCGGCCTGTCCCCTGACCTCGGCCGGGACCCCGCAGGCGACAAGCTCTTCAAGTGCGAGGAGTGTGCCAAGCTGTTCAGCCGCAAGGAGAGCCTGAAGCAGCACGTGTCCTACAAGCACAGCAGGAACGAGGTGGGCGGGCCGTGGACGGGGGGGTCGTGGGGGGCAGGCTGTGGATGGGGGCCGTGGGGGGGTGGGCCGTGGACGGGGGGCGTGGAGGGCGGGGCGTGGATGGGGGCGTGGACAGGGGCCGTGGGGGCAGGCCGTGGGGGGCGGGCCATGGATGGGGGCCATGGGGGCAGGCCATGCACGGGGGCCGTGGACGGGGGGGGCGTGGGGGCAGGCCGTGGATGGGGGCCGTGGACGGGGACCGTGGGGGGCAGGCCGTGGGGGGGCCGTGGGGGGCGGACCATGGATGGGGGGCGTGGGGGTGGGCCGTGGGTGGGGGGCGTGGGGGCGGGCCATGGACGGGGGCCGTGGGGGCGGGCTGTGGATGGGGGCCGTGGGGGGTGGGCTGTGGATGTGGGCCCTGAGGGTGTGCCGTGGACAGGGGCTGTGGGGGGTGGGCCGTGGATGGGGGCCATGGGGGCGGGCCGTGGATGGGAGCCATAAGGGTGGTCCGTGGATGGGGGCGTGGGGTGGGCTGTGGATGGGGGTGTGGGGGCGGGCCGTGGATGGGTGCCATGGGGGCGGGCCGTGGATGGGGGTCATGAGGGTGGGCCATGGACGGGGGGCGTGGGGGCAGGCCGTGGATGGGGGCCATGACAGGTGCCGTGAATGGGGGGCATGGGAGTGGGCCGTCAGTGGGGGCCCTGGGGGCGGGCCGTGGGGGCGGGTCGTGGACGGGGGCGTGGGGACAGGCCGTGGATGGGTGCCCTGGGGGCGGGCCGTGGGTGGGGGCCATGAGGGTGGGCCGTGGATGGGGGGCGTGGGGGCAGGCCATGGACGGGGGCCCTGGGGGTGGGCCGTGGGCGGGGGCCCTGGGGGTGGGCCGTGGGTGGGGGCCATGGGGGCGGGTCATGGACGGGGGCACAGGGGCGGGCCGTGGACAGGTGCCCTGGGGGCGGGCTGTGGGGGGCTGTTCTACTGGGGCCAGACGGGGGGATCCTGGGTGCCCTACGTGGGGTAGGGGAGAGCCCGGCCGGCTCGCTGACGCTGCCGTGTCCGGCCAGGTTGACGGTGAGTTCCGCTACCGCTGCGGCACCTGCGAGAAGACCTTCCGCATCGAGAGCGCGCTGGAATTCCACAACTGCAGGACAGGTGAGCGGGCGCTGGCGCTGCCTCCAGGGACGGTTTTTGTGTGTCGGCTTCTGTCCAGCAGAAGCCCATGGCCGGGCTGTGCTGGGCGCTACCTCTCGGGGGCGTGCAGCCAGCGAGTCAGCCGGTCGTCATGGAAACATGCATGATGCCCTCGGGGTGCGGCGCTGGGGGGACAGGCCTCCCTGTTTCCCACAGTGCCTCCCAGCGATGATCGCACAAGGCCGAGCACTGGACAGTCACCGGGCTAAGAGGAGGAGGTCCCTGGGGTCTTTGTGTTCCACGCCCTAGGGCTCCTGGCAAGCCGGGGCCGGGGGGCAGTTGGCTTAGAGACCCACTGGGGCAGCCCTTGATGCCCACTGCGTTCCCGTTGGGTGCTCCGTGTCATGTGCTCCGTGTCACGTGCTGCGTGTCAGCTGCTGTCGGGGTGCTGGCTGGCCATCCCCAAGTCCCTTCCCCAGCGTCGGCCGAACCTCCCTGCTCCCCGGCCTGGGGCCGCCGCTCGTAGGCCCTGGAGGAAGCTGCTGCCGTGTGTGCCGTGGTGCCCACGGTGGGTCCTTGGTCGGTCGGCCTGTCCTGCCTTGAGGGCTCCCAGCTGGGCTGAGGCTCCTTGCACCTGTGTCCACGTGTCCCTCCTCCCGTGGCAGGGTTCTGAGCGGCAGGCAGGAGCTGTGTTTCCCAGAGCGCCGCAGGCCCTGGGCCCGTGGAAGCAGTGGCGCCAGAAACTGCCAGAGGGACTGGCGTGCTGCTCCCTGAATTCTGAGCCCTTCCGTCTCAAGTGTTCCCAAGATTTGGGGTGCAGCCCTGCGCTCCCATTGGGTGCAGCACGCGCAGACAGACTGAGCCTCCGTTGTGTGCTGCCCAGGCTCAGGGTCCCGGTCCCTTGCCAGGGGCCGCGGGGGTGGGGGCGTCGGGAAGGGAAGTCCGTCCTTGGCCTTGGCTATTTCTGCAGAGGCGCGGCCGCCTGCCCTGGCCAGCCGCCGGTGGCAGAGTGGACTGACGGCGCTGAGCCGTGCCCCCGTTCCCGTCCAAGGCGGCCTCCTTCTGCAGCTGAAGTTTCAGGCTGAGCACTGCGCACAGTGGCGTCAACGCTGCCCGTGTGCTGCTAGCGCCCTCTGGCAGCACTGAGGCTGAGCGAGCGTGGGCACCCCCGGCCATTAGACCGAGCATTTGCGCAAGGAGGGGAGACGCTTGTACACGCGTGGGCTGCTGGGTGTCTCTCAGGCCCACTCACCGGACCGTCTTCCTGGGGCGGGGGCCGCGTAACTCATGCAGGCGTTCCCCATACCGCCTGGGGGACAGCGAGGTGCAGACGCCAACCCCCCGCAGCTGGGCTCCCCTAGAAATCCTCTCTCCGCCCCGGGGACCTGCGCCCGCCCTTCATCAGATGGGATTGCAGGAGGCCCTGCCCACCGTGCTTACTGTAGCCTGGTCAGGGACCTCCGGCAGCAGGTGGGGGGAGGTGTGTGCCTGCGAGAGGGGCAGGAGTGAGGCAGCCCGCGTCCGCCACCTCCGCGGGCTGCCAGGTCCCAGGACCGGGGCGGGGGGGCGCCTGCCCTGAGCTGAGGAGCAGGCCCGGGTTGTGGGGTGGGGGTGGCGTTGGTGGCTCGGTGGAACAGCACGTGAAGGTGTGGCCATGCACTGGGTGCTGTTGGTGCGCCCAGAACTCGTGCCAAGAACCATCATTCATTCAGGAGAGAAACCTCCCGTGTTAGTCTCGTCCGTGGTCCTGTAACGAAACACCCGAGGCAGGCTAGCTGCATGAAGAAAACAGGTTCCGGGGTTCACACTCCCAGGATCGGGGGCCCTGTGGGCTCAGCCTCTGTGGGGGCCTGAGTGACGGTCATGGTGAGAGACCGCGTTCCCTGGCTCCTGGAACATCTGGCTCTTGGGAGGACACCTTTAATCCCTATAGTTGGCTTAGGGACCGCCCACTGGGCCCCTCCTCTTAAAGGGCCCACGTCCCGTCAAGCCACCCTGAGAACCAGGCCCCTGACCACCTGTGGGAGGCACTGCAGCTGCTGTGTTATCTGCCCATTGGGAAGAGCTGAGCACGGGTCGGGTGCAGTGTGGTCGGGGACAGTGATGCTGCCATCCCCCACCATGGTAGACCGAGCGCCGGTGCGAGGGGGCGTGTCCGTGTGGGCAGAGCTGAGGAAGATGGGAGTGCACGGGTGGGGTATAGTGTGATAGGGAACGGTGATGCCGCCATCCCCCACTGCCACAGGCCGAGCGCTGGTGCGTGGGGGCGTGTCCATGTGGGCAGAGCCGGTCCAGGCCAGGAGAGGTGGAATTGGCAGTAGCGGCTCTCAGTGACAGGAGGCGGCAGCGTGGCAGGCCCAGGAGACGGTGCAGCTGCCGTTCTCACAGGCTGGCGGGGAGGCCCTGAGCTGCGGCTACCCTGCTGCCCACCGGCCGGCAGCGGTCAGTGCTGCCCCGTGGGGAGTCCCCGCCTCCCCTGGCCGTCCTGCTTCCAAGCCCTGTGAGCGTCCTGGGGCTGTGCGTTCCCCGCGGGGGGAGGGGCGGGCCCACCTGGGGGGGTGTCTGCGTCCCCGCTGGCCACCTGGCTGCATGACCGCCACGTGGGTGAAGTGAGGGCCACACTGAGGCTGCGCTCGCAGACCCTCGCGTGGGGGTGGGGCCGCTACTTCAGTCATCACGGACGGCTCAAGGGAGGGGGAGCTCCAGCCAGTGGGTGGGCCTGGACTGCTGCCCAGTGTCCCACATGCCCAGGGCAGCCCCTCAACCAGAGTCAGCAGTGAGAGAGCCCAGGAAGGGGTCCTGAGACCCCGCAGAGCCGGGCCTTTGCTGGCAGAAAGGCCCCCGTCTGCGCCGCGCAGGTTTGTGCGTTGTGCAAGCGTTGACAAGTGCGGGGGCCGATCAGGATGCAGCCCGCAGCTCAGGAGCAAGGCCGCAGCCTGTGTCCCTGGACCCTTACTCTGGGAGGGGTACTGCACCTGTGCCCCCGCACCTGTGCCAGCCCTTCTGTCACCGCTCTGTGACCCAGGGAGAGAGGGCATCCGCTGGACACAGAGGCCCCAGTGGGCTCGAGGGGCCAGGGTGGGTGGGCAGTGGGCTTGCGGGGGTCCTGAGGACCAGTGTGCACGGCAGCCCGCCTGGGTCCTGCGTCCTAGAGGAGTGACCAGGGGGCGGCGGTGCTAGAGACGTGGCCGAGTGTGGAGTGTGGGGAGTCCGTGTGCCCACCAGGGAGCATCTAGGAGCCGTGTGTTCTTCAGACAGAACTTTGGAGGTCTGGCGCCTGGCAGGAGGCCGTGGGGGCCGGGGGAGGGTGGTGGGCCGGGGGAGCTTTCCCGGTGTGGGAGGTGGTGCCGCTGGGAGGGGCCGGCAGCCGAGGCTTCAGCTCCGCGCAGGGCTCCCTGGGCCAGCACCGCACAGCCGCTCAGGAGGCGTCCCCCGGCACGTCCCATCAGCCACGCCCTCCCAACGGCCACGCCCCCCAGCCACGTCCCCCTTCGGCCACGGCCACATCCCTCCAGTTCTCCCCAGCCTCGGCCATGTCCCTGCCTCGGCCATGTCCCCTGGCTCCCCCCCACCCCACCCCCCCGCCACGTCCCCTGGCCACGCCCCCCGCTCTACCCGGCCTAGGCCACATCCCCTGTCCGCCACGTCCCTCCCCCTGCCACACCCCTCCCCCCTCTCCCAGGCCCCGGCCACGGCCCCCGCTCTACCCGGCCTAGGCCACATCCCCTGTCCGCCACGTCCCTCCCCCTGCCACACCCCTCCCCCCTCTCCCAGGCCCCGGCCACGGCCCCCGCTCTACCCGGCCTAGGCCACATCCCCTGTCGGCCACGTCCCCCCCAACACCCTCCCCACCCCACCCATCCCCACCACGCCCCTCCCCTCTCCCAGGCCCCGGCCACGCCCCCTCCCGGCCTGGGCCACGCCCCCTCCCCGCCCGGGCTCACCGCGTGTGCCGCCCTCTGCAGACGACAAGACCTTCCAGTGCGAGATGTGCTCCAGGTTCTTCTCCACCAACAGCAACCTCTCGAAGCACAAGAAGAAGCACGGCGACAAGAAGTTCGCCTGCCAGGTGTGCAGCAAGATGTTCTACCGCAAGGACGTCATGCTGGACCACCAGCGCCGGCACCTGGAGGGTGAGGGCGGGGCGGGGCAGACAGACACGGGGCGGGGCGGGGCTGGACAGACACGGGGCGGGGCGGGGCTGGACGGGGCGGGGCAGGCGGGGCGGGGCGGGGCAGGGCTGGACAGAGGGGGGCGGGGGGCAGACACGGGGCGGGGCAGGGCTGGACAGACACGGGGCGGGGCAGAGCTGGACAGAGTGGGGGCGGGGGACAGACAGACACGGGGCGGGGCAGAGCTGGACAGAGTGGGGGCACGGGGGGGGGCAGACAGACACGGGGCGGGGCAGGGCTGGACAGAGTGGGGGCACGGGGGGGGGGCAGACAGACACGGGGCGGGGCAGGGCTGGACAGAGCGGGGCGGGGCTGGATGGGGTGTGCCAGGCGGACAGACATGGGGCGGGGCAGGGCTGGATGGGGCGGGCCAGGCGGACAGACACGGGGCGGGGCTGGATGGGGCTGGGTGGGTGGGCAGACACGGGGCGGGGCAGGGCTGGACAGAGGGGGGGCAGGGGGGCAGACACAGGGCGGGGCAGGGCTGGACAGACACGGGGCGGGGCGGGGCAGACAGACACGGGGCTGGGCAGAGCTGGACAGGGCGGGGTGGGCGGACAGACACGGGGCGGGGTGGGCGGACAGACACGGGGCGGGGCAGGGCTGGATGGGGGGGGCTCACGCTGGCCAGAGCAGGCTGGATATACGCGGGAAGGGGCGGGGCAGGGCTGGACAGAGCTGGGCGGAGCAGGGCTGGACAGAACGGGGCGGGGCGGGGCTCACGCTGGCCAGAGCTGGCTGGCCAGATGGATGGATGGACATAATGATGGCGCGGGGCTTCACGCTGGTAAGATGGACGCCGGACACTGGAGCTTGGGCCGGGGCCGGACAGATGCGTGGGGACGGAGCATTGGGGAGCGGAGGAAACCAGAGCGTGGGAGCAGAGCGCTGCAGCCGCGGGAAGTGCGCGCAGGGGCTGTAGGGAGTGGAGAGCCTCCAGTGTGGCCGCAGGAGGAGCCAGCGTGTGCCCGTGGCCGTGCGGTGTGTGCGGGAGCAGCGTGGCCCGGCGGTGCCGAGGGTAGGAGGGTCCTGGGCCACCCCTCCCCCCGTGCTCCCCGTGGCCTCTGGTGAGTGCAGCTTTTGTGGCAGACCTGGGACCGGCCGGGGAGCGGACTGCCCGGCCTCGCGGCTGCTGAGATACCAAGTGGGAGCTAATGGCCCGCTTCCGTGGGCTCAGCTCTGCCTCGGGGTGCGTGGGGGCAGAGCAGTGCGGAGCAGCCCTGGGTGACAGGGACACGAGGGCTGTGCGGGGCATCAGAGACCCTGCTCCAGGAAAGAACCCCCCGGGAGCTCGGCAGAAGTAGGCTGTGGATCCGGGCTCGCGTTCCCATGAATCCTGGCCACAGACTCAGCGAGTGATCCCGAGAGGGAGAGAGAGGGAGAGGGGTCTTCCATCTGCTGGTTCGCTCCCCAAACGGCCACAACAGCCAGGGCTGGGCCAGGCGGAAGCCAGGAGCTGGGAGCTCCATCCGGGTCTCCCACGCGGGCGCAGGGGCCCAGTGCTTCGGGCCACCATCTGCTGCCTCCCGGTACGTTGGCTCCAGTGTGCAAGGCCGGCGTGCCCACTGCGCCACAGCGCCAGCCCTGCCAGAGCTTGTTACAGAGGGTGCTCGTGGGAAGCAGAAGGTCACCCGACAAGGCTGTGGGTGAGCGAGGCCTGTGTGTGGACGCCGCAGCACCCCGAGCCGCGCGTCCCCTTAGCCTCTGACCCTTTCCCTCTGGGCTTCTGTCATGGCTACAAACCTGTCCACACCTGGTCCACCCTCAGCAGCTGTGTGCTGGGCAGGCTGCTTGCCTGTGTGGAGGGGAGAGTCACCCCCTGTCCCCCTCCAGGGTTGGTGGGAAGCGTGGGCCAGCGCCCGCTCCCGAAGCCCCTGGCACGGAGCCGCAGGCCCTGCCCCGAGTTGCCTGCCTGTGCCGTGGCATGGCTGGGCTGCCTTCCACGACTCACGTGACCCGGCACCTGCAGGTGCAGACACATGGTACCGAGCTGTTGCCCGTGCCTCCTTCACCTGGAGCTCAGAGCTGGGGTGTCGGCCCCTGGAGCCCCAGCACGCCAGTGCCGCGGTCAGGCCAGTAACCCAGCGATGCCCCCAGGGTGGGGGCGAGAGCCCCTGAGGAGAGCACACGGGCTGGCGCCAGGGCCCTGTGTCACTGTGCAAAATCCGCTCTGATCCCAGCTCCCAGCTCTGTGCCTGGAAATCTGCTGACCTTTGACCTTTCACCCCGGTGCTCCTTGCACGGATTTAATTTCCAAGCAGCTTTTTTTTTTTTTTTTTTTTTTTTGACAGGCAGAGTGGACAGTGAGAGAGAGAGACAGAGAGAAAGGTCTTCCTTTGCCGTTGGTTCACCCTCCAATGGCCGCCGCGATGCGGTCGGCGCACCACGCTGATCCGATGGCAGGAGCCAGAAGCCAGGTGCTTTTCCTGGTCTCCCATGGGGTGCAGGGCCCAGCACTTGGGCCATCCTCCACTGCACTCCCGGGCCACAGCAGAGAGCTGGCCTGGAAGAGGGGCAACCGGGACAGAATCCGGCGCCCCGACCGGGACTAGAACCCGGTGTGCCGGCACCGCAAGGCGGAGGATTAGCCTAGTGAGCCGTGGCACCGGCCCCAAGCAGCTTTTTAATTAAAAAAATATATCTGTTTGGTGCTGGCGTCCTGGGGTAGGAGGTTAAGCCTACGCCTGCGACGCTGGTTCGGCTCCCAGCAGCTCTGCTTCCTACACAGCTCCCTGCTCGTGCCTGGGGAAGACGCCCCAAGTGCTTGGGCCCTGCACCCCCACGGGAGACCCGAAGAAGCTCAGGCTCCCGACTTCGGCCTGGCCCGGCCCCGGCTGTTTCAGCCATTTGGGGGATGAACCAGCAGATGGAAGACCTCTCTCTCTCTCTGTCTTTCCTCCTCTCTTTGTAACTCTACCTTTCAATTAAAAAACAAAAACAAAAGCCAACAACGAAACTTTAAAAAGAATTCTGTTACGGCCACCTGAGGGTGCTGTAATGGGCTGTGCCTTTTGGATTGGGTGGAAATAGCCTCTGGAGGGGCGGCTTCGCCCAGGCCTGCACGCCGCAGACTTGAACACAGCACCCTCCCGGCTGCACACGGCAGACGCAAGAGCAGTTACCCCCGCCTGCGGCTCCCAGTTTCCTTCCACCAGGGGGGGGACCGTTGGAGGAACAATTCACCGTCGCAGTCCCTGGGCTCCTGGCCCGCTTGTCCCTGCTCTGTGGGTGCCCTGCCCCCCCTCAAGGATGGGAAAGAGAAGGGCTGTCAGGTGTGGGTCCCTGTGCTCTGAGCGTGCCCTCCCTCTCCCGGGGCGGGGTCAGGTGTGGGTGAGTCTGCTCTGTGTGCACTCTCCCGGGGCAGGGGCAGGTGTGGGGTCAGCCCTGTCTGTGCCCTCCCTCTCCCGGGGCGGGGTCAGGTGTGGGCTCAGCCCTGTCTGCCCTCCCTCTCCCGGGGTGGGGTCAGGTGTGGGTGAGTCTGCTCTGTGTGCACTCTCCCGGGGCGGGGTCAGGTGTGGGCTCAGCCCTGTCTGTGCCCTCCCTCTCCCGGGGCAGGGCCTGTCTGTGCCCTCCCTCTCCCGGGCGGGGTCAGGTGTGGGCTCAGCCCTGTCTGTGCCCTCCCTCTCCCAGGGCAGGGCCTGTCTGTGCCCTCCCTCTCCCGGGCGGGGTCAGGTGTGGGCTCAGCCCTGTCTGTGCCCTCCCTCTCCCTGGGCAGGGCCTGTCTGTGCCCTCCCTCTCCCGGGCGGGGTCAGGTGTGGGCTCAGCCCTGTCTGTGCCCTCACTCCCTGGTGCGGCTGCCGTTTCAGGAGTGCGGCGGGTGAAGAGAGAGGACTTGGAGGCCAGCGGGGAGAGCCTTGTTCGCTACAAGAAGGAACCTTCCGGATGTCCTGTGTGTGGCAAGGTAATGAACGCCCTGGGTCAGGCCTGGACCTGGGATGGAGAGCGCATCGTTTTCTTTGAAAGTTTTTTTAGGATTTTATTGATTGATTGATTTGAACGGCGGAAGTACAGAGGGAGAGAGAAAGCTCCCCCATCGCCCACTTCACTCCCCAGATGGCTGCAGCAGCCAGGGGTGACCCAGGCCACAGCCCGGAGCTCCATCGAGGTCCGTGTGAGTGGCAGTGTCCCGAGCACTGGGGCCGGCTTCTGCCGCTTTCCCACGGCCTCACGGGAGTCCACACGGGCTCCTGGGAGGAACCGTGCCCCTCCTGGACGTTCAGGCCTAATTAATAGGAAGCCGGATCGGAAGTGGAGCAGCGGGACTCAACCCGCACTCATGGGATGCTGGCGTAGCGGGTGGCGGCTTCACCCGCAGTGCCACAACGCCAGCCTCTATCTATATCTATTTATTTATTTTGTAAAGATTCATCTATTTTACTTGAAAGGCAGAGTCACAGAGAGGCTGAGAGACAGAGAGGTCTTCCATCCGCTGGTTCACTCCCCAAATGGCCACAACGGCTGGAGCTGCACCGATCCGAAGTCAGGAGCCAGGGGCTTCCTTCGGGTCTCCCACGTGGGAGCAGGGCCCAAGGACTTGGGCATCTTCCACTGCTTTCCCAGGCCACAGCAGAGAGCTGGATCAGAAGTGGAGCAGCCAGGACTCGATCCGGCGCCCGTATGGGATGCCGGCACTGCAGGCAGCAGCGTTACCCGCTATGCCATAGCGCTTGCCCCCTAAGTTTATTTTTAGGCTGAGGATCACGTGGCGCTGTGCACTTTAAGGCTGCAGCGCCGGTTCTCAGTGCCTGTGCTCAGCGCCGGCCGGGACAGGCACGCAGCCTCCGCGTTCCCGCGCCTGTCTCTGTTCCGAGCCTGCCCGCTGCCCTCTGGCAGCTCCTTATACAGGCCCTTCCTGGGGTGGACGCCCGAGCTGCACGTGCAGCGCGGAGGGGACCGCGTGCTCGGCCGTCCCTGGCCACCGGCCGCTCCCTGCCCCAGGCTCGGCTGGCGGTGGGCCTTCGGCACTTCCGACAGCTTTGCAGGGCGCGAGTGACCTTGCGTGACCCCAGCAGTGCGTTCCCCTCGGGCCGTGCTTTGCAGCTCACAACCTGCTGCTGGGGTCTGCGGCCTCCCCCGGGGGGTGAGGATGGGGCGAGGGCCTCTGAGGGCCGGGAGTCGGAGACGCACAGCTCCTCCCAGGAGCCTGAGGGAGGCCTGTCAGGTGTCAGGACAGCACGGGCAGAGGTTCCCATCCTTTGCCGGTGAGCACCTGGCCTCCCCTGGGAGTGCTGTCACTCGTCCTTAGACTCAGCTCTGAGGGTGAGAATGTGGGTCCCCGCCGAGCCAGGCCACGTGCTCCGAGAGAGAGGCCGCACGCATCTCTGAGCCCGGCCCTGCCTGGCACGCAGGTGGCCCCTGGAGCCACTGCTGGCAGGCGACATTGCCAGATGTGCCACCGCCACACCAGGCACCTCCGCTCCAGGAGTGTGGACCCTGCATGGACAGGTGGCCCGGGAGGAAGTGGAATCCCGTGTTTTCCCATGGAATTTCCTGGCTTGTTTCCCAACCACAGAGTGTGCCGGAAGCCGTGGGCCAGCAGCACAGCCTGGAGGCCCACACAGGCCTCTAACCTTGAGCTGCAGGGCTGCAGTGGGGAGGGTGCGGGGCTGGCGAGGTGGACGCAGCCTGTGCTCTGTGCTGCGTGTCCCTTTCGTCCTGCCCGTGACCTCCGGTCCCCGGGGAGCACCGCTGGGGGACCCTGTGCACAGAGCTGCCCCTCCCCCAGACTGGCGTGTGAACGTGTTTCACTGTGGCCCTGGGCGAGCTCTCTGGAGGTGGAGGCAGGTGGTGAAATAACCCGTGTGTTAATAACCGGGTTCTGCGGTCTTGCCAACCGCTTCTCATCCCGGGCGGGGCCTGCCCTGTGAAGACACAGCACGGAACCCCCCGCAGAGGAGGGGATCCCGGGGAAGCCTGTGTGTGCCACGTGTCTGCAGTCTGATGATGAGGTGGCTACTAAGTAACTAACGGGCGGGTAGCGGACACGGTGTGGATACAGTGCTCGGGCCGGGAGCTCATCATGTCGCTCACATCTGCGCATACTGCAAGGTCACTCGCTCATGGAATTTTACATACGGTCTCTCTTTGGACCATGCTTGACCTCAGGCCACTGAAACCGTGGAAAGAGGTGACAGGTGGGGGCTCTGCTGTGGCCGGCACCTGCAGACCCCGAGCCTCTCAGAGCTGCCCACCCTCCCTCCTGTCCAGCCAGCCTCCAGCCCTGCATCCCTCCACAGTGGCCACCGCGCTGCTGGCCTGTGTCATTGGGCGGTCTGGGCTAGAGCTGTCCAAGAACACGTTAACCTTCTGTCCCTCGGCATCTTGTGTTCTCTCTGTGAGCAGCTGGCCAGGCAGGTGAGCTGCAGGCGGCCTGGACCTGGGTTTCCTGGCCGCTGGGGAAGGCCACCCACGGGGAGGCCTCGGAGACGGGGGGCATCTTGGCAGTGCTCTGAGCTGCCACCCTGGTAGGCACGGGGGCCACGTGTCTCTTAGGAGCCTCGGTATCCCAGCCCCAGCCAAGTGACCCCCGGGGGACGAGGGTGCCACGGATGAGTCTCCGGCCCCAGTGCAGCCGTCCTGCTGGGCTGGAAACAGCAGGAAACGGGCGGTGTGGACGTGAGCGTGCCTGAGACACCACCCCCAGGCCGAGGCGTAACTTGACAGCGGCTCCCTGAGATTGCGACTGCTTCCGTGCGCGGCTGGCCGCTCGAGAGGCCGTGTCCTCGTGAGACATTCCAGCGAGCTAAAAAGAGTCGGGCCAAGCGGCCATTTTTAGTGAGGCCCAGAAGGTGGCTCATTCCATCTGGGAACCTAAAAGGGAAGTGGAGTGAGAGAGATTACTCTGCTTAAACCAAGTTTGGAAACGCACTCGTGTGCCTTGCCTGTGACCTCGTGACCATAGGTGTAGACGGTGATGATTCGGTCGGCTCCATTGCATGTTGTGCGGATGCCAGGTCCGGCACCCGCCCGCCGCAGTCCTCCCTGTGGGGCCTGCAGGCCCTCAGTCGCCCGCCTCGGTCCTCCCCGTGGGGCCTGTAGGTCCGGCACCTGCCCACCGCAGTCCTCCCCATGGGGCCTGCAGGCCCTCAGCCGCCCGCCGCGGTCCTCCCCGTGGGGCCTGCAGGCCCTCAGCCGCCCGCCTCGGTCCTCCCCGTGGGGCCTGTAGGTCCAGCACCCGCCCGCTGCAGTCCTCCCTGTGGGACCTGCAGGCCCTCAGCCGCCCGCCGCAGTCCTCCCCGTGGGGCCTGCAGGCCCTCAGCCGCCCACCGCGGTCCTCCCCGTGGGGCCTGTAGGTCCAGCACCCGCCCACCGCGGTCCTCCCTGTGGGGCCTGCAGGCCCTCAGTCGCCTGCTGTGGTCCTCCCCGTGGGGCCTGTAGGTCCAGCACCCGCCCGCCGCGGTCCTCCCCGTGGGGCCTGTAGGTCCGGCACCTGCCCACCGCAGTCCTCCCCGTGGGGCCTGCAGGCCCTCAGCTGCCCGCCGCGGTCCTCCCCGTGGGGCCTGTAGGTCCAGCACCCGCCCGCCACGGTCCTCCCCATGGGGCCTGCAGGCCCTCAGCCGCCCGCCGCGATCCTCCCCGTGGGGCCTGCGGGCCCTCAGCCGCCCGCCGCGGTCCTCCCCGTGGGGCCTGCGGGCCCTCAGCCGCCCGCCGCGGGCCTCCCCGTGGGGCCTGCGGGCCCTCAGCCGCCCGCCGCCACCCGCAGGTCTTCTCCTGCCGGAGCAACATGAACAAGCACCTGCTGACGCACGGCGACAAGAAGTACACCTGCGAGATCTGCGGGCGCAAGTTCTTCCGTGTGGACGTGCTCAGGGACCACATCCACGTCCACTTCAAGGTGCGCGCGCCCAGCTTGCTCCCCGGGCCGGGCTCCGAAACCTGCCTTCCGCTGCACGCAGTTCTGGGGGCGGGCTCCGCGGCGCCGGCAGAAGCCATGACGGGGGAGTTTGTTGGGTGACAGAGGCCGGGCTCTCACCGTGGATGGCGGGACGAAGGCGTTCTCAGAGAGGGGGGTGGCCTTTTCTTTTTAAAGATTATTTATTTGAAAGGCAGAGTTTCAGGACCGGGGGGAAGACAGAGAGAGAGGTCTTCCATCTGCTGGTTCACTCCCCAAAAGCCTGCAACCGGGCTGAAACAGGGAGCCCGAGCTCCGTCCTGGCGGTTACAGGGGTCCAAGCACTCGGGCCGCCTTCTGCTGCCCTCCCCAGTGCATTAGCAGGGAGCCGCATCAGAAGTGGAGCAGCCGGGACTCGAGCTGGCGCTCCAATCAGGGCTGCAGGTGTAACCGAAGCAGCGGCCGCACCCTCCGTACACAAGGCCTGTGGCCTGCCTCGTCGGGGCGCTTACCCTGTTCGTGAGGCTCCACCTCCCTGGCCTCTAGTCACCTGCCAAAGGCCCCCCTCCGGTTCCGTCACCTTGGAGGAGATCACTGGAAGCCATGGATTTTGGGGGCCACAGACCTTGGGCACAGCTGCAGCCCGCAGTGGCTGTCGGCTTGGCCCTTGCTCCCTCTCCCGCAGGCGTTCACCAGACGCAGGGGGAGGAGGGGGCTCCGGGGAGCAGGAGGGGAGCCCCGCGCTGGCCGGTGCCTGTCGCGGGAAGGCTGCGCCTCCTGGGGCTGCGCGGGGCTCCCTGGGGGCCAGGGCACGGCCCTGTGCGCTCCGTGTTGGAAAGCAGACGCCGTGTTTCCCAGGACATCGCCCTGATGGACGACCACCAGCGGGAGGAGTTCATCGGCAAGATCGGCATCTCCTCGGAGGAGAGCGACGGCAACTCGGACGGCAGCGCGGCCTCCGAGCCCCACAAGTACAGCTGCAAGCGCTGTCAGGTAGCCCCGGGGGCTGGGGCGCGAGGCGGGCTCCCCGTCCCCGCCTGTGCCCTCAGCCGCCCTGGAGGGGGTCGGGTCTCCTGCGAGGCCAGCCCTCCCTCGCGGGGCAGGGATGCCGGGGGCCCAGTGCAGGGTGCCAGCGGCCTGCCGCCCCCGCAGCTCACCTTCGGCCGGGGCAAGGAGTACCTGAGGCACATCATGGAGGTGCACAAGGAGAAAGGCCACGGCTGCAGCATCTGCAACCGGCGCTTCGCGCTGAAGGCCACCTACCACGCCCACATGGTCATCCACCGCGAGAACCTGCCCGACCCCAACGTGCAGAAGTGAGCCGGGGCGGGGGGGGGGGGTGTGCCGGGCGCTGCCCGCCCCCGCAGCCCCAGGGAAAGGCAGCCTGGATGCAGCCGGCCTGCAGGACGAGCAGAGCCGTGTCCCCCGGGGCCCGGCCGGAGCCCTGGGGGCTGCTGGAGGGGGCTGGAGGCTGGGGTAGCGGCCTGGGTGGCCATGACGGAGGAGCTCAGAACAGGCTCTGCGGCTCTGAAGCTGGGGTGCGGCAGGCTGCTCCCCACCAAGGCCCCCCCGCCCGTGTCTCATGGGCGTCCCCGTGTGCCGGTGCCCCCGCCCTCTGTAAGGACACGGGCCGCTCCTCCCCCGGTTGGAGGCGCAGTCGTGTCTGAGGGGCTGGGCCGTGGGACCGCGGCACCTGGGCAGAGTGGAAGCCCGCGGCCGTCGGGGGCCGTGGGGGCTGCAGCTGACCCAGCGCTCGGCCTCCAGGTACATCCACCCCTGCGAGATCTGCGGGCGGATCTTCAACAGCATCGGGAACCTGGAGCGCCACAAGCTCATCCACACAGGTGCGCTCTGGGTGAGGGAGGGGGTGCCTGGGGGCCGGGGGGTGCCACAGCTCATCCACACAGGTGGGCTCCGGGTGAGGGAGGGGGCGCCTGGGGGTCCCGGGTGTGCCACAGCTCATCCACACAGGTGGGCTCCGGGTGAGGGAGGGGGCGCCGGGGGGCCGGGGGCCTGGGGGTCCCGGGTGTGCCACAGCTCATCCACACAGGTGGGCTCCCGGGTGAGGGAGGGGGCGCCTGGGGGCCGGGGGCCTGGGGGTCCTGGGCGTGCCACAAGCTCATCCACACAGGTGCACTCCCGGGTGAGGGAGGGGGCGCCTGGGGGCCGGGGGGTGCCACAGCTCATCCACACAGATGGGCTCCGGGTGAGGGAGGGGGCGCCTGGGGGTCCCGGGTGCACCACAGCTCATCCACACAGGTGGGCTCCCGGGTGTGGGAGGGGGCGCCTGGGGGCCGTGGGCCTGGGGGTCCCGGGCACGCCACAAGCTCATCCGCACAGGTGCGCTCCCGGGTGAGGGAGGGGGCGCCTGGGGGCCGCGGGCCTGGGGGTCCCGGGTATGCCACAGCTCATCCACACAGGTGGGCTCCCGGGTGAGGGAGGGGGCGCCTGGGGGCCGCGGGCCTGGGGGTCCTGGGCACACCACAAGCTCATCCACACAGGTGGGCTCCCGGGTGTGGGAGGGGGCGCCTGGGGGCCGTGGGCCTGGGGGTCCTGGGCACACCACAAGCTCATCCACACAGGTGGGCTCCCGGGTGTGGGAGGGGGCGCCTGGGGGCCGTGGGCCTGGGGGTCCTGGGCACACCACAAGCTCATCCACACAGGTGGGCTCCCGGGTGTGGGGGGGGCGCCTGGGGGCCGCGGGCCTGGGGGTCCTGGGCGTGCCACAGCTCATCCACACAGGTGGGCTCCCGGGTGAGGGAGGGGGCGCCTGGGGGCCTGGGGGTCCTGGGGGTCCCGGGCACGCCACAAGCTCATCCACACAGGTGGGCTCCCGGGTGAGGGAGGGGGCGCCTGGGGGCCGTGGGCCTGGGGGTCCCGGGTGCACCACAGCTCATCCACACAGGTGGGCTCCCGGGTGAGGGAGGGGGCGCCTGGGGGCCGTGGGCCTGGGGGTCCCGGGTGTGCCACAAGCTCATCCACACAGGTGGGCTCCCGGGTGAGGGAGGGGGCGCCTGGGGCAGCGCGGCCGCGGGCCCGGGGGTCCCGGGCGCTGAGCGGCCGCCGCGTCTCCGTCCAGGTGTGAAGAGCCACGCCTGTGAGCAGTGCGGGAAGTCCTTCGCCCGGAAGGACATGCTGAAGGAACACATGCGCGTGCACGACAACATCCGGGAGTACCTGTGCGCCGAGTGCGGGAAAGGTGCGGGGGGGGGGGGGGCGGGAGAGCGGCCGGGCAGGCGGGCGCCCCCTCCCCCGGGGAGGACACACCCCATGGGCGACCGAGTACCTGTGCGCCGAGTGCGGGAAAGGTGCGGGGGTGGGGGGCGGGACAGCGCGGGCGGGCGGGCGCCCCTTTCCCCCCCCGACCCCCCCCCCCGGGAGGAGACATCCCATGGGCGACCGAGTACCTGTGCGGGAAAGGTGCACGCGGGGGCGGGCGGGAGAGCGGGGGAGGGAGAGCGCCGGAGGGAGGGAGAGGCGGGACAGCGCGGGCCACGGGTGGGCACGGGCGGGCTGTGGCCTCCGAGCGGCGCCCCCTCCCCAGCGACGCACACAGCCTGGGCCCCTCAAGGCGCAGGTCTAGACCGGAAACAGGCTGGGAAGCCCCGCAGAAGCCCCTGGACGCCGCTACGGCAGCGCCCGCGGTTGTGGGGCCCGGGACAGCGGCCCCGCGGCGGGTGCCCTTGGCATAGGACGGCCGGCTGGGGCCGCACGGCAGGCTGTGTGCAGGGGCTGCTCCTGAGCCAGGGCCAGTGCGGGGGACACCGGATCCCACGCTGACCCGAGGCTCCCGCCTGTGCGCACGGGTGGTGTTGTAGTGGAAAGATCAGAAGTGACCAAGGTAAAACCGCACTCCGGCAGGGGACCATGGTCCCGCACAGCGAGGTGACCCCGCGTTCCACCGCGGCGCTCGGGCGCCCCCTGCTGGCCCAGCGCAGCACTCTCCTGCTGGCCGCTGGCCTTGGGGCCGTCTCCTGGGCCTGGCGTCCCGGCTGTGGGCTGTTGGACGGGAGCCGCCCACTTGCTGAGGGCAGAGCTGTGGTCAGACTTCTCATCCCCACGCGAAGGCCAAGGCCACAGTGTAGACCCCGTCCTGGCCCCCAGCCAGCTCCTCAGCCAGCAGCCTCCTGCCTCTCGGCTGGGCCCAGCGGTGGCCGTGGGGCTGCACTCTGCCCTAGCACACGGGAGCACCTTGGGTAGCCACAGGCCACCTGCACCGCACGGCTCACCACCCTGGCCTGCCTGGCCCTTTAAGACCCCCACCCTTTAATCCGAAGCCTGCGGCGGGGCCGCCCCTCCCTCTGGCCCGAGCCACTGAGGTTTTGGGGTCAACTCCAGAGGCAGCAGGGGTCAGGGTCGCTGTGAAAGCACGCGGCGTCCCCTTGGAGGGACCTTGGCTGCCCGGGCCGCCTCCGCCGCCGTCCAGTTGGGTCACGATGGTCAGGCCGGAAGCTCACCGCCAGCCGCCACCCGGATGGCCGCGGGGCTCTCCAGGGTGCGGGGGCAGCAGCTCCGGGCCCGGCCGACCGGCGCCTGCCCGCGTCCCCAGGCATGAAGACCAAGCACGCGCTGCGGCACCACATGAAGCTGCACAAGGGCATCAAGGAGTACGAGTGCAAGGAGTGCCACCGCAAGTTCGCGCAGAAGGTCAACATGCTGAAGCACTACAAGCGCCACACGGGTGAGCCGGGCCCCGGGCCACCTGTCCACTGTGCACTGACCACTGTGCACTGTCCACACTGTGCACTGTCCACACTGTCCACACTGTGCACTGTCCACCTGTGCACTGTCCACACTGTGCACTGTGCACTGTCTACCTGTGCACTGTCTACACTGACCACTGTCCACTGTCCACCCGTGCACTGTCCACTGTGCAGTGTCCACACTGTCCACTCTGTCCACTGTGCACTGTCCACTGTCCACACTGTGCACTGTCCCCCTGTTCACTGTGCATTGTCCACCTTCCACTGTCCACTGTCCACACGTCCACACGCTCAAGCACTACAAGCGCCACACGGGTGAGCCTGGGCCCTGGGGCCACGCGGTCCACTGTCCACACTGTCCATGCTGTCCACACTGTGCTGCCCATGCTGTCCACATGCTCAAGCACTACAAGCGCCACACGGGTGAGCCGGGGCCACTGTCCACACTGTCCATACTGTCCACACTGTCCATGCTGTCTACACTGTCCATGCTGCCCACACTGTCCGTGCTGAGCACGCTGTCCACACGGGCTCCCGAGAGTTGGGGCGAGTGCGCGTGTCTCCGTGGCTGTCTAGCCTGCGTGGCGCCGCGCGCACTTGCTGTGTGACTCGGCCGTGCCCCAGCGTCTGCCGCTGTGTCTCCCGCGTGCTCCCGGGGCACCGAGGTGTAGACCCCACGTCCAGAACCTTCCGCCGTCTTCCCCCGCTCCGACGCGGCGCTGTGTTGAGGCGTGACCGTGGTTGAGGCGTGGCCGTGGTTGAGGCGTGGCTGTGGTTGGGGCGGGCGTGGGTGGTGACTGGCAGCCGACTTCCCCAGGGCCTCCAGAGCTGCTCACGCGTGGCAGCAGTGGGACGCAGGTAGCACGCGTGTGAGACGGAGCTGCTCACGCGTGGCAGCGGCGGGACGCAGGTAGCACGCATGTGAGACGGAGCTGCTCGCGCGTGGCAGCGGCGGGACGCAGGTAGCACGCGTGTGAGACGGAGCTGCTTGCGCGTGGCAGCGGCGGGACGCAGGTAGCACGCGTGTGAGACGGAGCTGCTTACACGTGGCAGCGGCGGGACGCAGGTAGCACGCGTGTGAGACGGAGCTGCTCTCCTGCAGGGATTAAAGACT